CGAGCGCCCATATACTCTTCCGGATCCTGAAATCCTCCGCGCAGGTACAGACGCGCCCATTCGATCATCGGAAAATCGCGATATTATTGGCGCCTCGACGCCTGAGCCGACTAACCTTCCAGCGTCTATTGTCGCTTCTCACCCACGGCCAAAACTCGATGTATTCCAAGGAAAAAAGATCATGCTTTCGGCCGATCTTGGGATCGGCATACATTTAACTAACACGATTGTCGAGGTGATCAGGGACGCTGGCGGCCGTGTGACATCTGACGTCTCCGAGGCAGACATCTACATCTGCCGTTACAGATCTGGATTCGGTTATCGCTTGGCGTCAAGGTTAAATAAAGACGTTGGAAACCTATCATGGCTCTACCATATGATCACCTACAATGCATGGACCTCGCCGCTACGACGGATGTTACACTACCCCATCTCGCGCGTAGGAATACCTGGGTTCGAAGGGCTCAAAATCAGTCTGTCCAACTATGTCGGCGAAGCGAGAATCTATCTGGAGAATTTGATCGCAGCGGCGGGCGCAGAGTGTACCAAGACCCTAAAGCAGGAAAACACGCACCTAGTGACCGCCCATGGAAACAGTGAGAAATGCGCTGCTGCGAAAGAATGGGGGTTGCACGTTGTGAATCACCTCTGGTTGGAGGAAAGCTATGCTAAATGGAAGATGCAGCCGGTATCTGATCCTCGCTACACTCATTTTCCTAAGCGGACGAATCTAGGCGAGGTCGTCGGTCAGACACGCCTGGACAGATCTGTGCTAGAGAGCCACTTCTTTTCTTCTTTGGAGAGCACAACTCAATCGTCAGATAGTCCTCGACGAGCAATGCAGACCAAAGACCAGAATGCTGATGCTGGAAAGACATCAAGCGCTATGCAGCCACCTACAACCAAGACCGTTGATGCTGGGAGTGCGACACCGCGAGCAGCTGACAAGTCACGTAAAATTTCAGAAAACAAGAAGCCGCAGACTCCCGCACGTGCTCGGTTGGAGTCGGAGGGCAAAGAGAACGACACGCCATCTTCAACGAGCAGTCGCAAGTCAAAGGAAGCGGCTTTCAATCGACTCCAGGAACTCGCACCAGATATCGCTTTGTACGAAAAGGAGAAGAAGCGAGTCGGAGGTGTGATCTATGGCGGGCGAAGAAAGAGCGACGAGGACAGAGTCGTGCTCAACAACGCTAAGAAACGCAGATCAGTGGAACCGGAGGAAGAAAGCGACGAAGACAATGCGACGGAGGCGAAGAGACAGAAGAAGTCGAAACCTCCTATTGCCATGCATCTCCTTATTACTGGTTATCAGAAGTGGGTGGGCAATTTGAAGAAAGAGGATGCAGACAAGGTATGTTGCCAATTCATATTTAACTATATGCACCCGCACATATTTGGCAAAGAGCTAATGATGATCAGCGCCAACTTCGCGACCTTGGGATCATGGTTGTGCAAGATGCACGAAGATGTACACATCTCGCCGCCCCGTCTATACTGCGAACTCCCAAATTCGTCAATGCGCTGGCATACGGTCCTGCGATTGTGAACATCGATTTTATCACAGAATGCCTCAAGAAGAACGAGCTTCTGGACCCTGACGACTTCCCCTTGGTGGACAAAACCGCCGAAAAGAGATTTGGCTTCTCTCTTGAAAAAGCGAGAGCCAAGGCGAAGAAGAACAAGAACAAGCTCCTGCAGGGCTATCAAATCTACTGTGTTGAGTCTATCCGTGGAGGATTTGAAGCGTTCAAGTCCATTGTAGATGTCAATGGAGGCACCTGCACCCTCTTCCGCGGAAGGGTCTCCTACCACTCGCAGCGGGAAGAGAGCGAAGACGATAGCTCATCTGAGAGTGATCTCAGCCGCAAAGAGGTCTACCTTCTTAGCAGCGTATCGCCCGAACATCAGAAGCTCTGGCCGCGATTTTCACAGTTGGCACAGAGCATGGGCAAGACACCACGAATCGTGCGCGTTGACTGGCTTCTGGACATTGCCATGTCCCAGGAGCTGCGTACGGCTGAGGGATATGAGCTGAAGGAAGACATGGTTGACCAGGGCGATCACTAGACAGGGCGTCTGCCTGGTTTTTGTATTAGGTTTGCTGCATAGCCAAGCCGGTGTTTCTCGGGTACTTACCTTGCACATGGTTATGATGGATCAATGTCTGGATCTTTAGGTATATTGGGATTTCTTCTTTGCGGACAGATTTGATGCTGCGCTTAGCAGTTCCGTGCAAATAGTCATGCAGCTCGAAAGTTTGACTTTAGCGTTTCATAGCGAGTTCTGTTCAGAAAAACTTGACACCTTCCTGGCCTTCGCTGCCGAACACCTGGGCCTTGCCGCGTTTTACAAGAACGTTTAGAGACTTGAGCATCACGTCTGCATCCATACCATGCCATTCTAGAAGATGTCAGCGACGACTCACAAGAAGGATAGAAGCCATAACCATACCTTGCGACATCGTAGCCTCTCCCTCCAGCAGCTCGTACACCGTCAGGACAACATTCTTCTGCCCTGTCGCTTCCACCTAGAACCAAAGCGTTAGCAAGCTAGCCAACAAGCAGGGAAAGGAAGTACTCACCCAATCCGCCACGATTCCCGCCCACTCCTCTGGTCTCCTCCACCAAATCCAGGCCACCGACTTACTCCCCCCATCGATCCATTCCGCCCGCCTCCCACCACCCCCTTCCTCTTCAGGCTTCGCCATCCAGTCCAATACGGCCCTGGCCTCGCTCAGACTCAACCGTTTCCGCAGCGTAGCATTGTGGAAGAGCGGGCTTTCAATCGCTTCAATCAGCGAGAGGCGGTAGATGCGATGGTGGCGGCACCAGGATTGGACGAGCGAGGACCATTTCTGGAGCTGCGAGAGGCGGGTTGTGCTGTTTGGTTGGGGCGTGAAGAAGGGGGGGAAGGAGTAGGTTGGTGGGAACTGAAAGGTTGTTGTGGGGTGAGACTGTGACATCTTTTCGTTTCTGGGGGTTCAATTCGAGGGAGAACTGGTGATATGGTTAGTATGTGGTGCTTGCGTTGTAGGAGAAGGACGCTGTTGACATACTTGAGGCCGATAGTGATGCTTTGGATGCGGGGGTTGGTTGCGGTATGGAGGATTGCTTGATGGGATGCTGGTGAGGTTATTCTATTGACGGGCTGTGCATTGCTTTGCAGGAAGACAAAAAACAGTATGCTATCTATGGAGAAGATATTTGGCAAAAGAAGAGAGCGATGAGCGATCGAGGCTGTGCGGTGGTTATCTTCTCGGAGATGTTGTCTTACTCCGCCAAGCTGACCTCCGACATCCTGAGGGACGTCACGCTTCCGCTCTAAGAAAAAAAAGTGCAACCCTCCACCAGCACACCTCTGGCCATTGCACGAATATTTCTCTATCAAGGATTGCAATTGCTCAGCACGGTTCTGAAACCCTTCTGTAAAGGACATTCTCCGTCCGAAATCATCCAAATCAATCCCAGAACAGATTTCAAACCATGACACCACCCCCGCCCAAACGCCAAAAGCGCGATGAATACCGCAAAGCGACAGCAGAGGCCGCCTCGCAGCCCGGCCCCAGCGACGTCGCGGAGATCAAGCTGCCCAAGAAAAAGTACTATCGCCAGCGGGCGCACGCAAATCCCTTCTCGGACCACCAGCTGAAATAGTACGTCCCCGCGCAAATGTCTACTGGCATTCTCCGTCGCTAACGTGTGATGCAGTCCCCTCAGCCCGGCGCATATGGACTGGTCCTCGCATTATCCTGCCTTTGTGGATCCGGATCCGTCGCATACCAATCTCGCCGGGGCCCGGAAGCTCCTGAAGGATGTCGAGGTCGTGGATATCGGTTGTGGCTTTGGCGGGTTGCTCATTGGGCTTGCCCCTCTCCTGCCGGAGTCGTTGATAGTTGGTAGGTTACGAGACACATACTCATGCGGTGAAAGAGCAGTGCTAACAGGGCTTGGGAATCAGGCATGGAGATCCGCGTTTCGGTCCTTGAATACGTGACGACGCGCATCCAAGCCCTCCGGGCCCAGCAGCATAAGCTCAGGGCTGCAACTGCGACAACAGGGTCGGAAAATCCGTCTCAGCAGCAAGCCCAGGCAGATGGGAAACCGGCCAACGCAAACGCAGCTGCAGATGCAGCCTCCCCCGCTCCCTCCACCGACACCGAGAACATCCCGACCACCCTCGTCCCGGGCTCCTACGAAAACATCTCCGCAATCCGCAGCAACACCATGAAATTCTTCCCCAATTTCTTCGCCCGCCAGCAACTCTCGAAGATTTTCATTTGCTTTCCGGACCCGCACTTCAAGGCCCGCAAGCACAAGGCTCGCATTATCTCCGAGACGTTGAACGCAGAGTACGCCTACGCTCTTCGGCCCGGTGGGCTCTTGTACACGATCACCGATGTGGAGGAGTATCATTATTGGGTTCTGAAGCATTTTGGGGTGGAAGCGGGTGACGAGGAGGGGAATGAGGAGAAGAGCGCGAGTGCAAGTGGAAATGCTGGGGTGACGGACCTCTTTGAGCGGGTTTCGGAGGAGGAGCTGGAGAAGGATGAGTGTGTGCGGGTTATGAAGGAGGCCACAGAGGAAGGGAAGAAGGTGGCCCGGAATAAGGGAAATAAATACGTGGCTGTCTTTCGGCGCAAGGCGGATCCCGAATGGCCTGCATGACTCTTTGGTCATTGAGCATTACCACTGCAGTCACCAATATGATACAAACATTCGCAAAGTACAGAACGACTATGGATGGTAATGGCATTGATAGATTTGAAACATGCTATTCTGAAAAGGATGCTGCCTGTCGAACTCCGTAGGATGATTCAAACCAAAAAATCACAGCCTTACAGCACCCGCTGCATGCATAATCACACCATATCGCTGTAAATCCCGCTTGCTTGCATATGCAGTCATCTCAAACACAGTAGGCAAAATCTGAGAAGATCAATCAAAAATGCAGAGTGTAGATCGTAATCTTGAATGGCAGCGAGCCTAGGTTGAGCATCATCACTTGCGTGGTGCCTTGAGTCGGATGCTCTCACATCGCTCACATACAGCCAACTGAATAGGACCCCCAATGATCCGTCCTTTGGACGTTCGCTTGGGCTCGCCCTCTCGCACGAAATACCGGCCATCCGGACCGAAGCCGTCGCCACACTCGTGACAGACGAAGCATTCACTGTGCCATTGGCCCCCGACAGCGCTGATCACGATATCCTCCAGGACAGGCTTCTTGCAGCCCAGGCATCGAGGCGCGGTGCGCCGAGAATGGCATTGGAGGCACCATGCGAACCCGTCCTTTTCCACAAAAGGAGTGTTTGAATCGAAGGGCTATAACAAAATTAGTCGGGTTCGCTTACAGTGTTGAACAAGGTCAGAACATACATCACCACATTCGGCACAGAAAAAATGGCCGACATGCCACTCGGCTCCGCATGCCACGACTATTTCGCCTTCAATTGGGGTCTTGCAGCTCTTGCACCTGGGGCTGAACTTCTCATGGAAATCCAGATGACAATAGAAGCGCAACATACGCGCCTCCTCGTCGTCCCTTGGCGCCTCCGCCAATCGCTCATTGCGCTTGGCATCGGGCTCCTGATAAAAGGCCACACATTCTAAGGGCGTATGGCAATGATGGCACACGAAACACTCTGGGTGAAAGCGAGCCCCCGCCGCTGTGACAATCTTCCCTGCAATGGGAAGGGAGCAGGACTCGCATTTCGCTGTTGGTACTCCAGAGCGGGTATACGTTGACAACCAGGGTTTCTGTGAGGACTGCGCAGCTTTCGGAGGAGACGATTGCGGGCGGTGCTTTGTGGTTATTGGATCTGGCAGAGGCCTAGTATCTCCCCTTCCCTTCTGAGATGGTGCTGCCATCTCCGAAATGGTGGGCTCCTTCTCATCCGGAACATTGATAACCGGTATCGCCGGCGGCTCGGATACTTCAATGGTAGGGGCAGCAGGCTGCGGTGGTGGCGTTGGGGAGGCCGAATCCTGCCTCAGGCTGTCACGCTTTTGCGGTGACTGGGCCTCAGTAGGCTTCCAAGTCGGGTCGAAACTCACGATCGGACGGCCAACGCGATTGCTGACGGCTGTGGGCATAGGCAGCTTCGTGCTTCGATCTTTAAGTTTCTTACTTGTAGCCGCCCTGATTTCATCGCTGCGAATCTCAATCCCATTCTTCGTAGGAACGGCCTGAACGGCCTGCTCTTTGTCCGCTTCTTCATCCGGGACTGCTTGCGGGAGGGGGTTGTTCGTCCTATAGTCCGGATTTCTCGATTGGGTTGGATGTTGTTTATGTAGCTCGAACCGCGCCAACTTGTCAACGAACGGAAGACTGCTTAGTCGTCCGGGAAGGGGTCGAGAGCCTCGCGGTAGGGCATTGCGTGGCTTTGTTCTGAGAGCTGATGAGTCGGATCTAGAAAATTCCGGTCGACCATCCTCCTCGCAGCCATGAGGGTCTTTCGGTTCCTCGTAAATAGAGTCACGAGGATTTCGAAAAACCCCTCTCGATGACTCGCTACTGAATCTGGAAAGACATGAGTTCCCGCCTCTAGATTTTGAGGGCGATTCATCGGCGGGCAATGCAAAATCGACTCTGACATTCTTCCGCGGCGACGAGGCCTTTGCAGGGCTGCTTGCCGAGTTCTCTACCACATGATGGTGTTGTCGGTCATACTTTAGAGCTAAACCTATCCCCCCAGCATCAGCAAAATAGCTGTCAGAAGAGCTTTCTGAGGTCGACCGATGATTATTCATAGGCCCGCCAGTCTTGTCACTTTGGCTGTGAGAAGGGTCAGCGCTCTTTGACGTCTGGGATGATCTGTCCAGGTCGGGGTTATGATACGGCGCATATGGGTTTTTGTAGGGCACGCCGGGGTTCTGATGCATCCAGACTAGCTCCGTGGCTTCGTCTTGTGCAGCCTGATGGAGGCGTATCTCATCATGCAAGTCAAATTCCTGCAACGCATCCCGCAAGGAGCGTGCTTCCTCCTTCTCTACCCGCCGCTGACCACTTTCACGATAAACCGCATTGGGAGATGGAGGCGACGGGCGCGAGAAAACATGCGAGGGCGAAACATTCTTGCGTATCGGCACCATTCTTGGTTCCTGTACTAATGGGCGCCCAGCTGAGCTCCCCAGAGAGACGTGGGGTTCGAATGGGCGATGGGTTGACAGAGAGCTGCTGGCTCGAGGGCGCTCCGCCTCGGGCGAAGTAGACTGGGTGCTGGGATGTCCATACATTGACATTGACGATGACGCTCGAGGAGGGAGAGCCTCTCGAGGGGTTGAGCCTGATCCTGCTGCTCTTGTTGGAATGGGTCTAGAGCCACTCGGACGGGCTGGTCGATTCGTTCGCAAGTCTTTCAGGTAGTTTGCTGGAGATTATGTCACATTATTAGCTCAAGGTCATCACGGAGCCAACCCCAAAGGTGTCAATCTGTCAAAAAACTGCGACAATTTCCAAGAATGCCATGAGTCAGCGAGCAATGCAAACTCACCGAACTGATCGCTGGACATATAAGTCGGGCCCGGAGGGGAAACCTTCCGCTGGCCGTCTTTGGCCTTAGTATGGCCGGGAAGATGAGGTCTATGCATCATCCTGGTCTAACTTCTTGAGATGTGAAGAAGTCTAAGACGACAGTTGGGGCTCAATGGGGATGGAGATCTCTCTGATGAGCTGTACTCTCAGCTCGGAGCTAAGTAGATAAGGTACCTATGGAGTCATGGCAGAGCCAATGGGCTCGCAGACGGTGGCTGGAGTGACAGGGATGGAATGAACTAGACAGATCTTTTAGGTTGACTAAATTTATGAGGAGTCAGATTAGAATATGCTTAGATTGGATTGTTCAAGTAGTTAGATTAAGATCTTGTATTTGTAATTAATGCAGGGAATCCAGCAATACTCGACTAACTCCCGTCGGATTATTATTGCTATCGGGCTATCATCCCCTCATCCTGGACGGTGGAAGCTTTGACCACCACAACAACAAAGATGCAAACAAGCCAAACTTCCCGTCGCGAGGCAACGCGGGGTTGTGCTTATGTCAGCCGCTGACACCTTGGCCCTAAGCCAGAACAAGTCTAGCGTATTTCGGACATTTGTCCTCCTCGTGGCGATGGTACTTTGTCTTGTAGTATTTAAAATAATGCCGAGGATGACAGATGATGGACATGGCTATGACTGGCGATGGCAGATGTAAAGCAAATGCTTGCCTATATAGTAGAGCATCATGATGAGGAAACCCTTGACCAGGTTTTCACCAAGCCTTGCATTCTGGTCCGTCTTCCCCGGAATATCAGCCCAGTTAGAGAGGTACTCCACCAGTTTAATCTCTACCTTCAACTTCCAGTCTCCAGAAACAACAGATTGCCTCCAGAGTATCCACAGACTACAAAAAATCCATGACTCCGCACCGCTTAATCGGCACGGTAGCTGCTGGGTGCCATGTGCCGTCTACCCAATGATGGCGCATGGACAGTCGGATAGATCGCCGAAACCGTATGGCCAAGGAGCCGTTTCAAGAAAGCGTCAAACCGATGACAAACCGTTTCTTTTTACTCCTTCTCACGCAACAGATAGACTAGACTGAATATATTGTCCTTTGCTTATATCTCTCTTGTTAAAATCGGTCATGCTGTTCCTGATCACCTCTGGTTCTCTCTTCCTCGGACTACTCATGGGGTCCAAGTTCGGATTCTGCTTGCTGTGCTCCTGATATGTGTGATCGTGGGGTGACAAGCATATTCAACTCGGGTCAACCTGCCTTTGCATAGAATTCACCATTACCAAGTTGCAATGGCAGATAATCCACCCATTGATATTATTCATTCAAGAGATCATGACCGAGATCCGGCCGCTGAGGACCCTCTATACAAGCGGGATCATCGACAGGATCTGGATGATTCAACGCCAGTGACAGAACCGGACCACAAAACTTCCCAAGACGTACCCGATGGAGGTTATGGATGGGTCTGTGTGGCTTGTGTATTCTGGATCAATGCGCACACTTGGGGCATCAACAGTGTAAGTACCATCTATGCCAGGCGGAATGAGGACTAATTCTATGCAGAGCTACGGGGTCTTCCTTTCTTATTATCTCTCACACGATGTCTTCCCTAACACTAGTGCGCTGTCGTACGCCTTTACTGGTGGTCTGAGTATCTCCTGCGCGCTCCTCGTTGCCCCTCTGGCCACACATCTGATCCATCTCTTCGGAACGCGGTTCGTCCTCAACTTAGGCGTCTTCTTCGAAACCCTCTCCTTGATTGGATCCTCCTTTGCCAAGCAAAAGTGGCATATCTTCCTCAGTCAGGGCGTCTGTTTCGGATGGGGGATGGGTTTCCTGTTCGTTGGTAGCGTGGGGATCACTCCGCAGTGGTTCCAACGGCGAAGAAGTCTTGCCATGGGCATCAACGCCGCCGGCTCAGGACTGGGAGGCCTGATCTGGTCTCTAGCAGTAGGCGCCATGATCCCCCGTCTTGGTCTAGGTTGGACATTCCGGGTCCTCGGCATCATCGCCTGCGTAGTCAACCTGGTCTGCGCCAATCTCCTCAGAGACCGCAACAAAGCCGTCGGCAGCCGCTTCAAAGCCTTCCACCTGCCCCTGCTGAAACGGCCCGAGTTCCTCCTGTTCCTCGGTTGGGGCATCCTAACCATGCTCGGCTACGTCGCGCTTCTCTTCAGCATCGCCAACTTCGCCCTCTCCGTCGGCCTCTCCCCGCACCAGGGCAGCATCGTCAGCGCCTTGCTCAACCTCGGCCAAGGACTCGGCCGTCCCTTCGTGGGCATGTTCAGCGATAAGTTCGGCCGCATCAACATCGCCACTTTCCTCTCCTTCCTCTGCGGTCTGTTCTGCCTCGTGATCTGGATCTTCGCCCGGAGCATGGGTCTCGTCTCCTTCTTCGCCGTCCTCGTCGGCACCGTCGCAGGCACATACTGGGCTACCTCTACCCCCGTGGCGGCCGAGATCCTCGGTCTCCGGGATCTTCCCAGCGGCCTCAGCATCACCTGGCTGACGCTCGTGCCTCCGACGACGGTCTCGGAGGCGATCGCCCTATTGCTGCGCGATAACAAGTCCACGGATTCGAAGTATCTGAGAGTGCAGATCTTCACGGGCTTCATGTATATCGGCAGTGCCCTGTGTCTCTGGCTTGTCCGAGGCTGGAAAGTAGGCGACTTGGCTCGCGCCAAGGAAGAAGCTGTCGCTGCGGTTGACACCCGACAGGCAGGTGATGGTGCGGCTGGGAATGTGCCTTCAGCCAAGGACGCTGAAATCGAGAATCATGGTCAAGCGGACGATCCTGCATTCTCCGTGCGGGAGACGTCGAATCTGAGCCCCTGGACGCCTGCGACCTTGTTACGTGGAATGGTGGCATTGAAGCGGGTATGACAGAGATGGGCAATATCCTTGTTGTTGCTGGGGTCTGTTCGCCTGCACATTATGATACCCTACATAAAATTTTCAATCTGTCCTTATTACATCACTCTAGGCTTGGAAGTATTATAGATTTGAGTGATCAAGCAGCCGTCGCAAATGTATGTTCGTACCGCTGAACGCCAGGAACCCTATGTCTATGCTTTACATCCGGATATCGTAGTATGGCAAGTTCAAAACTTTTAGTTCCCGGGCCCCAGAATCAATATGCGCACCCGTCTCTTTCCAGCTCCACGGCCTCCTTCTTCCTTCACTGAGCTGACATTCACCTTGACTCGCTGGAAGAGCTCGATGGCAACGCCACGCTCCTTCTCAGGATGTCCCTTCTCGGAGACACGGAGCGTGTACTCCTCGCCGTCAAAATCGCTTTCCCGTCGCAACAGCAGCTCCCGCCTTTCCTCGACGGACCGAACTGCCGATTCGCCGGGAAGTACGAAATCCTCCAGGCGGACAACGCCCTCAATTCCAAAGCGGGGAACGAAGACAACCACGCCGTTCTCAAAGACGCGCATGACGTATCCTTCTTCCTCAATACCCGCATCAACACCATCGGCCGCCATCTTCTCCCCACGAGCCTTGAGCGCCTGTCCAACGTAGTACTCGATGCTAGCACGGCCGGCGAATTGGGCATTCCGATGCCGGTAGTTGATATTCCGGCAGATGTCCTCGAGCCTGTTGCGTGTCATGACACCTTCAACCTGCGCCCGGCCGTCTTCGCCTTCGTATCCAATCGCAGCTGCGAGCTGTCGGTGGACGAGCAAATCCGCATATCGTCTGATAGGAGAGGTAAAATGTGTGTAGATGGGAGAGGCGAGACCGTAATGGCGGAATTCAGACTCGGCATGTGCACCCGCACAAAAGTATTCCGCGGATGTCATACACCTGGTGGCAAGGATACGGACCAGCGTGTTGAAGAATGGGTTCTCTGGATCGACGCATCGGTCAAGGGAGTCAGCGAGGGCCCGCGAGCTCGACACATCGAGTTCCAGATTGCGCTTCTTCGAGAGCTGGTTGATGAGCTMCTCAAAGTTCTGTGGCGGGGGAGTGGCGTGCCGACGTAGCAAAGCAGTCTGGGAAAAACTATCGTAGATTTTGGCCGCGACAGTGATGTTGGCGTGAAGCATGAACTCTTCAACTAGACTGTTGGTTGCAAGCATTGCCTTCGTCTTGACATCCGTGAGCGGATCGCCGACTTCGTCACTGTCCGTTTCGATTCGAACTTCCGGTGAGGCAAGATTCAGCGCTCCTGCATCCATTCGCTTCTGACGGAGGATTTTCGACAGACGGAGCAGGGTGCGCATGCTCTGAGTCAGCTCATCATTTTGCGAAGGGTCGTCGATGCGCATTTGTGCCTGTTCGTAGCTGAAGGCCTCTCGCGAGCGAATAACGGACTTCGTGAATTCAGCAGACACGACTTCAGCGTTCGGAGTCATCTCCCAGAGGACGGAAAAGGCGTAGCGCTCGACATATGGCTTGAGGGAGCAGAGATCAGTGCCGAGAAGATGCGGAAGCATGTCAATACGCTTGTCGACTAGGTAAACTGTCGTTCCACGGACGCTAGCCTCCAGATCCATGGCATTGTTCGGTTTGACGAAATGTGACACGTCTGCAATATGGACGCCAACTTCAAAATTACCGTTAGGCAAAGGCCGCGCGTGGAGGGCGTCATCAATATCTTGACATCCAGGAGGATCAATACTGCAGACCAGAATATCCCTCAGGTCTCTTCGTCCTTTCCAACCCACATGTTCCTTGTCGGCAGGAACTTTCCAGTCGTGTCCTTCTTGCGGAAGGCAATCCAGAACGGCTTTTGGGAATGGTTTGTACTGCACGTCATACTCAAGAAGTAGGGCTTCCGTCTCTGCTCCTTTGGTCTCTACTTCTCCTAGAGAGCGAATGAAATGTCCAGTAGGATACCGAGAATCGCGGTCCCAGGCGTCAATCGTTACCAAAATCCGCTGGCCCAACAGGTCGCTAGCCTGCCGGGTACGGACTCGGATCTTTGGAATACGTTTATCCATGGGTAAGACAAAAACGTTCTGTTGCCGCCGTCCAGAGCTGGCTGACGCACCCGTCGAACCTTGATCAACATGTCCGACGTACTGGCGCCAGTTCCGCTTGATGACACCAACAACCTTAGCTGTGGGTTGCGGCCTCCCTTCAGAATTCTTGCCATGCGCCTTCTTGACTTCTTCCTGCAGAGCCTTCCGCTCCTTTTCTGTCACCACCTCTTCATTATCTTCCGCCTCGGGATTGTCGTTCCGCGTGACTGCTTCTTCGTCAACAAGCTTTGTGGATGGTGACTTCCACTGATCTTTCGGTAAGACCTCAATAACAACAATGTCCCCTGCAATAGCACGATTGCTATTATCACGACCCAAGATGAGGAGTGGCTTATCAAAAGCTGCGACATTCACAGACCCTTCCAAGTAGTTGTACGGCGAGACATTGAATACGCCCTGATGCAGTGTGCCAGCTCTCAGTCCGGTCATAATCTTCGACATCGAGTAATACTCTGGATAGAAAAGCTCGCCGCGGGCGCCCTTTGCGTCCCTTGCCTCCCTCGCCTCGCTGATCATGTCAAGTAGCCTGTCGGCGTCCTCCAAGCCCGAGACATAGTCGGACAGCGACAGCGCTGTCACACATTCTTCCTTTGCTTTGCGGAGATTTTCCTTGTCATCTGTGATAACGACAATAGCTGGTACCGACTTCTCCTTCTTGCCCTTCTTCAGCGTGCTGTGAAGATGTTCAGAGTACCATTTTGCCACAGCCCGTACTGCTCGGTCGTTTCTGTCATTAATGGACTCATTCTGACCTCTTCTCACGTGAGTTTCCAATCTGAACTCATTGAAGAATAGGTAAAACCGTTTTTCGTCCGTCTTAATTAAAGAAAGCAAGCGGTTGTAGAGCGGCAGTGACTGGTTCTTGAGTTCCTCGAGGACCGTCTGAAGAATGACAACGTCATAGAAAGCTCCCGTATGTTCAAACAGATCCATACCATTCAGCAGCGCGTTTGTATCAGGGACGAGGTAGTGACCGCGAGGGAAAGCGCTCGTGCCAGCGGGTTGCTCTGAGAGGACGAAAGGCGCAACTATCCCACATTAGCAACCAACCTCCGCATACGCCAGGAGCTCCAACTTACTATTCCCATTCGCATCTGCTGGCGCGATTGTAGGACATAGCGAACACAACTTGGACGAGCAAGGAATATCCTGTCTCAGATAAAGCTCACGTACAATCTTCTGCACCTTTCCACTTTTCGTGGACCTGACGAAGATTTTGCTGGTGACATTGGCGGCCTGCGGATCAGAGGAGAATTCCCTCCGTAGGCTCTTCATATTTCGTGGAAAGTGATCTGATTCCTGTCAGACCTGGTTTTGCACAGAACACTGTGTATTTCCGAGCCGCAGCGCAGTGATTGACGTTTGTGCATGATCTGCTCCGGCGTTGAATCTCAGTCGGCGGAGCTTGGCGGTTTTAGGTAAGCCCCTCTCATATCGCTATCATTCCCGTTATCGGCACTCGGTATCAAGCTACCTAAGTATTAAGTATTAACAACCCTTGTCAGTGACCATCTTACTACCCACGACTCGTTGACCCTGGATTGTACATAGACACTTTTCTATCAGAAAGGAATCATAGACTACCCTGTAATATAACAATGGCCATTGCTGTAAGAGCCGAATAACTTCCCAATTTCAGCTCAAAGCCACCTTACTAATGAGAACCACAACAGGCCGTCGGGCAACTATGCTCGACCGCGAGTATGACTTCGAACCTGGCTCAGTGTCAGGTTCTGGTGCGCAAAGCTGTGGCATCTGGTGCTAAAGTATGGTACACTTTACCTCCTCTCTATGGAAGCTTAGGCGCTCTTGAGACTTTGATAGCCTAATGCTGAACAGGCATTGTTCCTCCCAGAGGCATCAGACTACATTGCCTCTTCGCCAGCAGAAAGCATATCGCTTGTACGATCCGTGCAGGACAGCGTATTTGTGCAGGGACTCCAGCGTGAAGCCCGGCAGGCAAGCCTGCATATCAACGTTGGCATCCATGAACCGGCGCCGAACGGCAAAGTCAAGAATACTCTGATCTGGATTGATGATAAGGGTATGATTACTCAACGCTACCAAAAGATTCATCTCTTCGATGTCGAGATCAAAGATGGGCCGGTCCTCAAGGAGAGCGCGTAAGTAGACCCTAAGTAGAAAGCATGCATGCACGACTCACCTTTGCGGTAATAAGGAGCGTTGAAAAGGGTATGGAAATTCTGCCGCCATTCGACAGCCCTCTAGGACGTGTTGGTCTCTCTATTTGCTTCGACGTGAGTCTAGTGGCCCCAAGTTCCAAAGCCTGATGGAGAAGATATCTTAATCTTACATGCTACTTGCTTTACAGCTGCGCTTCCCTGAAATCAGTCTGGCATTAAAGCGTCAGAATGCGCAGATCATCACGTATCCATCGGCTTTCACGGTTCCAACGGGACAGGCTCATTGGGAAACATTGCTCCGAGCAAGAGCTATCGAGACGCAGGCGTATGTGGTGGCTGCGGCTCAGGCTGGTCCTCACAATGAAAAGCGGAGAAGCTATGGCCATTCAATGATTGTTAATCCATGGGGAGAGATCGTGGCGAAACTTGGAGACGAATATCGAGAACCAGCAATCGCTACCGCAGAGATTGACCTCAATCTCTTGGAGAAGGTCAGGAGAGAGATGCCCTTATTAAGGAGAACTGACATATATCCAGAGGTATAGCACCTGATTTAATTGCTAGGACATTCAAACCAAACCCAGTAGATCTTGTGCATGTTAAAGGCTACTTCGTAATATCTGCTACGTAATGCTCGTCTCAGGCGTCTTTAAAGGTAATCAACAAACATTGCTCTATCAGGCTAAAAGTCTTCCCATTTGAAAAGATTTCTTGAGTGAGTTCATTTATAGACTTTCAGAAATACAACGACGACAAAAATCCCTCTGCGTGGAACGAAAGTTGAAGGAACGAACAAAGACTTTGAAAAAGCACGTCGTCTAAGTTGGGCTCATACGCCATATGTATCACAGACCAGGTGGTAAGGCGCTTTTCATAGCCGATCACTCTATGTACAGTGTACAAGGAAAATCGGGAGTAATGCGATCACTTCTGCTGGACCTTGTCAGGGTCCTCCAGGATGCCCTCGGCCTCCAGCCTTCGTCGGGCCTCCTCCAAAGCCCACGTTTGTATCCTAGAAGACAATCAGTATCTATGATCTCGGAATAAAACAAGTCGATACGGTACAGCCGCTCATAAGAAGGGAAAGGCCTCCGATGAATAGCTGGGCACGGGGGTGGAACGTACGAGGTATCAGGCTTGAAAATGTATGCAACACCACCAGCGAGCAAACTGCCAATAAATCCGTAGTACCAAATGTTTTCCCATCCTTCCTTCACGTATTTCTGACCTGGCTTGACGCCGAAGAGCCACCCGGTGGGAGGGTCATAGTGATTACCGTGGTCAGCGGCGCGAAGAGCGTTCCGGGTCGAGAAGCCCCTAGTGTTCTGAGGTCCGCGGAGGAGGCAGCGAGCACGGAGGGCTTGCGACAAAGGACGAGCAGACATTGTGATTATTGTGAAGGAAACTGGCAGTGTTCCTTTGAAGAGCCGGTTGATAGTTTGATGGCGACGCTAGGTAGAGGACCCCTGCCAAATATGCTAAGGAGGTACTTCGGAGATCTGTAAAGAACGGTATAGACTGGCGACAGCCGCCGTGAGTTCAATTGGACAATAGCTCGATTCGCAGCTGTTGATGAGGCTGCGGTATGTGGAGGGGCGCTTGGTGTCCAGTGGTTGATGTTCGTGAAGCCGCAAAAGGCCGATGGAGCGGGAGCTTGGAGTCACCACGCTAGTCCCTATTGAGGCAATCTAGACGCCGCCTTCATGCCTGACATTACAGGCATCAACATACGCCTCAGGCAGGAGCCATCAACGCGCGACGCGTCTCGAGTATTCGCTTACCCCATTTCCTCATGGAAGGCAATCAATCATTGTACTACATCGAGACGACCACCAGCCATGATGTGGACGAATATTCTACTTGGACTTCTGCTTTGAGCAGAAAACAACCCTCCTCTGTCCAACGTCCTACTTCAATGGTAGATACGACACTCTACTCATTGCTACAGCTCCTGTCAATCTGTAGTCCTTGAAGTCCCAGGCCTACATGAACCAATGTCCTACAGAAAGCTGAAATTTCGAAAAGCTCTTGAGCCATGGCTGGAAACTTGAACTCCTACCCGATATCCTCCAATTCACGTTCCAAGTTGAATGCCTTCCGGTTCAACGACCAACATACAAACAATGGAGGAATCTCGCCTACGAAGTCGGTATTAAAGGCAGGTCACGAAGACAAGGAAAACCAAACTTCGTGGTTGAATGGAGTAGTCAAACCATTGCAATCAGAGCCACAAAAAGAAGAGGCTTCTGGCGAACCGAATGAGCCGAAACCGGCCAAGGAGTGTCCTCAGACGCCAGGGAACAGGATACCGCTGGCCGACCTCATTAGCAATGCAGAAGACGCATTTAGCCGAGCACCAGGACAAGAATACACGCCGGAGGATCATGTTATCTGGCAGCACGTACCTGCGAGCTCGAACCCAGACACACTCTCTCAACCTTCCGCAACGAGAAAGAAACGGCGTCACAGCTCGTCCCCCACCAGCTCTCCACTAGGTGCAACCAAGAAGGGTGAACGGAAACGGTCCTTTGATATGCAATCCTTCCAAGCGCTCCTCAAAACACCGCAGAGCGACCTCGCAACAGACCTGTGGAACAATTACCTGGGCAAGGCTTCGATCAATCCAGAGGAAAGCTTTCCTCCTCCGCGCCTAGCTAACCTTCTCTCGTCTTCACCCCAAACACCTGCCTCGGCCGGCACAAGTAGGGACTCTTCTGGTTTGAGGAGGTCAGTTAGTTGCAATGCGGAATGGCCCACATCTAAAGCAAAACGGAGAAGATTGAATGGACAAGAGTTTGGTAGTGGGCGCAACATTTTCTCTCGATCTAAGAGTAATGTACTGGAGTCCGCAAATACGAAATCTTCCAGACTCAACTTTTTGTTGGAAAAAATTGAGAGAAGCCTGCAGAAGCCCTCTGTCGCTCCAGCAGAAATGTCGGATTCTTCACCCGTGCCGAAACGCAAGCAAGTGCGATGGAGCCGATCGAATTCTCCTGTCGAGAGAAAGGCCGCCGCCCAAATTCCAGGGGAAGTCATTGAGTATGACGACGGAGTTGCTCACTCACTTGTGCAACCAAACGAACCCGAAGGCGTAGGAGCCTCTTCATCTGATTTCGGTGATGATGACTTGGATCAGGACTTTCTCACCTTGGCTGAAGCATCTGAGGACCCATTCCTTGAACCAACCCGGCCCAATAACTATACGAATCCAACGAACGTCGAAGCCGCTGTTGAATCTACTGTGGAACAGCCTCGACGTCAACTTAGCTCTTTTGAAGACTCGAACCATAACGCAGGAGCTCCTGGTTCGGACAACCAGGAGTCCAGTGTCAATAAAGCTGTGAACAGTGATGAATTTGACGATGACTTCGACGATATAGAGGATATTCTGGCCGAATGCGATGGAACCGCAGGCTTGACTCATCAAGGACCAAAAGCGTCAGCGAAGCAGCTGGCTCACGAACAACCTTGTATAAAACCGAATACGATACGACCCTCTGAAACAGAAGGATTTTACGACATTTCTAAGGGGAGTTTGGAAACGTCCTCTGGTGACGAGTTTGATGATGACGACTTTGACGTGGAGGCTATCGAGCAGTCTATGGACCCAGGTAGAAATGGATCAGTCAACGTTTGTCGCTCTTAGTTGGTACTTTCCATAGGATTTTGCTAAATACATCAGAGCTAGAACCTTACAGACCGGCAAGCTATCAAACGATATTTGATTGTTGATATTGCAGAGAATACGTATATCACTCAAAAAGGTCGCACTCAGCCAGAGCAGGTTTGTTGTGTCCAAACTCATCAAATATGCCGTTGCTGGCTAACAAATCGGACAGGTGCTGTTGGTTCAGGATGAAAGGACTAAAATCAGAAAGGTAGTAATCTTGCGAGAGTCTTGGTTCGACAGCCCATGCAGTAAGGGTGCATATATTCACCTGACCGGCGATTTCGATGCAACAGGGCAATGCATTGTCGATGATGCCCATAATATGATCATACTTCATCCAGACCATCTGATATCTGCGACCGTTGTCGCAGACTCCATCAGTTGCCAGCGAAGAGCAGTTCTCCAGGACCGTATCAAGAATTCAAGCGATATTAGCAAGCCTCAGGTGTTCGGAAATATCTTTCACGAGCTCTTTCAGGAAGCTATGAAAGTCAACAAATGGGACCTGGGCTCTTTAAGGGCTTTAGTAGAAGCTATTCTTGTCAGACATGTCGAAGACTTATACTTGATCCAAATGAGCACTCCGGAAGCTGTCGAGTATATGATGAGCAGAGTCCCTGCTTTGAAAGCCTGGGCAGAGGTCTTTCTTCGAACTACTCCGAGTGTAAGTGCACCCCGCAGGCGTTGGGATGCTTGGTGATTAATCCCTACTCCAGGCCGAATCTGTTGTTGAAGACCGGCATAGCTCCAAGGTCAATCTGAGCATCAATAAGCTGCTTGAGGTGGAGGAACACATATGGTCCCCGATGTATGGGCTCAAAGGCAATATTGATGCTACAGTCCAAGTTGCCTGCAATGACGGGGAGGGCAACAGAAATCTGGTTGTCCCTCTGGAGCTCAAGACGGGCAACAGAGACACAAATCAGGCACACAGGGCTCAGACTGCCCTTTATACCTTGTTGCTTTCTGATCGCTACGGTAAGTTTTCCAGCCCCAATTATGCACCGTACCTTGTCTCACTGATGCTACTCTTTCAAGACGTTGACGTAACCTTCGGTCTCCTCTACTATTTGGAGATATCGAAGATATTCCGCATCCGTGGTATCAGACATGAGCTCTTGCAAATGATCCAGGAACGTAACCGCCTGGCGGGTTTTGTCCGTGAAAGACACCAACTTCCACCAATGGTTAAGAAACCGGGAATGTGCAACAGATGTTACTCAAAGACGCCTTGCTTGATCTATCACAAGCTTGCGGACGACGGAGATGGCGAAACCAGCGGACTTGGCGATGAATTCGTCAAGGCTATGGACTATTTGACGCCCCAGCATCGAGACTTCTTTAAAAAATGGGACGATTTGCTGACGAAGGAGGAACAGAGCATGATACGATTCAAGCGAGAACTCTGGACCTTGTTGAGCAGTGAGCGAGAGGCTCTCGGGCGTTGCTTCGGCAATGTCGTGATACAACCCGGGTCCGCATACGAGGATAAAGAGAGCACAAAGATTAATCGCTTTAGATATACCTTTGTTAAGAAGCACTCCTTGCCTTCGTTCTCTTTCACTGAGTCGCAGCTGACAGTGGGAGAGCCGATCGTTATATCCGATGAGAAAGGTCACTTCGCACTGGCCAATGGATACGTTGTGCAAGTCAGCCCAAAGCACATAATGGTCGCAGTCGATCGGAGATTGCACAATCCGAGAACAAAGACAAAGGGATTTGATGCTAAGAAGAACCAATCATTCCGAGGCATCATGGAAGTACTGGAAGATAGCTCCTTCCCTTCAACTTCGTCTAACGACCCGGAGGAGGAGATTGTTTACCGATTGGATAAGGACGAATTCAGCAATGGCATGGCAATCGTTCGAAACAATCTCATTTCCATGATGGAAAAGGACCTATTTCAAGCGAATCGACTCAGAAAGCTTATTATTGAGGGCGAAACACCCATTTTCAAGCCCTCACCATCTGCTTTTCCGTTGTCTGACTCCGCCAAAGCAAGCCTAAATGTCGATCAGAAAAGAGCCATAGACAAGGTCATGAGTGCGCGAGATTATGCACTAGTCCTTGGTATGCCCGGCACAGGAAAGACGACAACCATTGCCCATATCATTCGAGCATTGGTGGCGCAAGGAAAGAGTGTTCTCCTGACCTCCTACACGCACACCGCAGTCGATAATATCCTACTGAAGATCCGAGACGATAATTTCCGCATTCTGCGGATAGGAGCTACTGCAAAGGTGCATCCCGAAGTACAGCAATTTGTCGATCTTGCAGCAGTCCCTAAATCCACCGTCGAAGAGTTGAAAGCATCCTATGAAGAGTCACAAGTAGTCGCGACGACTTGTCTTGGGGTCAACCACAATATCTTCAATAGACGCATATTCGACTATTGCATTGTTGACGAGGCCTCGCAAATCACTCTTCCGGTATGCTTAGGGCCGATTCGAATGGCGCGAACATTCATTCTCGTCGGGGACCATTACCAATTGCCACCTTTGGTGCAAAACAAGGAAGCCCAAGAGGGAGGACTCGATGTCAGTCTCTTCAAGCTCCTTTCCGACGCACAACCTGAGTCGGTGGTCAATCTTGAGCACCAATATCGTATGTGCGAGGATATTATGGTCCTTTCCAACAATCTTATCTACTCGGGGCGCTTGAAATGTGGAACTCCTGCGGTTGCATCGCGCTCCTTGGATCTGCCCAACATTGCCGGTCTCAAGTTGCATCATACCAACCAACTACCGCAATCAGCGAATCAGCGGCAATTTTGTTTGGGGACGAACCAAGGCCGTTGCTGGCTACGTGACGTGCTTGATCCCTCTGCAAAGAACCGTTTCATCAACACAGATACGCTTGCGATTCCAGCCCGAGACGTGGCAAACGGCGCCAGGATTGTAAATCCAACTGAGTCTTCTATTTGCGCACAGCTTGTAGAGTCATTGGTTTCCTGCGGCATCCCAGCACGTAACATTGGTGTTATCACCTTCTACCGCAGCCAGCTCTCCCTATTGAAGCAGAATCTTCGTCGATTCCTACCCGAGCTTGAAATGCATACAGCCGACAAATTCCAAGGCCGAGATAAGGAAGTCGTGATACTAAGCTGTGTTCGAAGCAACGCGGACAATAATGTTGGCGATCTTCTCCGAGACTGGAGACGGATCAACGTCGCCTTTACCCGCGCGCGGACAAAGCTGCTCGTTGTTGGGAGCAAGAACACTCTGCGAGATGGCAATGATCTACTCCGCAAATACATAAGCATGGTGGAAGAACGAGGGTGGATATATGATTTGCCCAAAGGTGCTTTGGAAAGCCACATCTTCGACTGCGACGTGAGCTTTACTCCATCACTCGATGCAGGCAAATCATCATCCAAGGGGAGCAGGAGTCCCGCAAAGACTTCTCCTTCGCCAAAGGCATCTCGCAATCCTCTCAGCCCAATACAGGGCCAACCAACGCTTCGAGGTCTCAAGAAACCCGCTAAGAAAGGGGCCAAGCTTCTAAGCGGGAATAAGGTCATTGGGAATAGGCCTGTGTTACAGGACGTGGTAAATGAACTCATTGGTTAATGACTCGCGGAGTTGGTGCGCCTATGGATGACTTTTCTCGTTGTTGCTTCGTCGCTCTTGAGTTTTGTATAACTTTTTTACCTTGGTTAACTGTCTTCTTTCACCGAGTTGGGGCGATAACCGGATCTCATGGAGGTTTCTGATTCTTGCAGGCTTTCTTTTGGATAATACCACGACCTTGACTTACATGATAGTATAGCTTGAACAATAATGAATGAAATTGCCGTTAAGGCTTGCGCCATTTGTTACGAAAAGAAGGGAAGCTTCTGTGGAATGATAGTCATTGTAGCATTATAAGACTGAGGCTCCCACATATTCCCAGCAAATACAAGTACGACTGGTTTTCGTAGGAGTGTCTGCTCCTCCTTGATTGTCCTGAGTACTGTCAGTGCGTTCGGATTGTGGCAACAACATGACCGTATATCCATCCTTCGCTTCCACAGCTTCCCTTCCCAGTGCACTTGACGAGAGTGCAAACCATGTGGATGCCGGCGAGAATTTTGAGGCTGTCTCACGCCTAGTAGGCAACGAGTCAGCAGAGCCGTTATAGTTCTGGCGAATATGGCAGAAGAGGACTTACAGCACAGTGATGAACAGATCTAAAATCCAGCTCGCGGGGACGAAACCGTGCCATTTCAGGGAGACTAGATTGGTAGATCTGAGAGGTCCGTCATCTGGGACGCTGTAGCGGCTTAGGTATGGGTCGATGTTGTCGTCTTTTGATACCCGCGGAGACCCGAGGGCTACCATTGCCAGCCATTCAGAAAGATTCTCAGAATCCTCTTTCAAGATATGTTCTGAGGATGCTTCCGTGAAGGTTGTCTCGCAGAAAGAGGGAACGATGATGTTGGGGTAGTGGGTACGGGAGACAGCACAGTCGATGATTTGTGGATGATTGCCTTTCAGGGTGGTATCTCCTTGGCTTTTGTCAGTTCTACTATCTTTGTCATGAGATTTAGGTGGTACCTTCGGAGATTCCGTTGGCGCCTGGTGCCAGGTCGTAAAAAAGCCAGGCTACGGAGTGGTCAAGAACGTTTTTGAATGCCCAGACGATTCTGTCAAACCCTTTCTTGCCATGCAGCATAGAAGGCAGCCGCAGATTGATTTCCACAACTAGTGATTCGTTTCATTAGTTTCTGAGTGAGCATGGGATGATGACGGGTCTGACGGACGATATCGCTCTTTGGCATGTTTCCTTCCCCCGCTGCGGATGGGCTTCCCTGTCAGTCCTGTCCGTTCGTAGACCTCCTTGCCGAGCTCTAATTTCAAGATCCCTGAAGCATTGTCAGTTCGGATCTAGTGCGCATCTTCCTAACTGAACGTACCATCTTTGAGCGTGTAGACGTTGTCTGAGCCTGACCGCCCCTCGGATATCATGAGGATATTGCCTGAGTGAGAGGTTAGAACTAACGGAGATCGATTTGCGAAGGGGTCATGAAAGACAAAAAAGAATGGTGTACCGGTCTTGATGTACGTATTGAAGAAGTCTCCTTCAAGCAGTGCAGAAGGAGACATGAACACCCTCGCATATCGAAGCTTTTGGACTTTGGCTTCCAATGAGTCCTTTATGCTTGAATAGACCTCTTCTGGAAATATGACCTCTACCTGTTTCCAACGATTAGTTCACCATCGCTCAGGAGTCCAAAGGAGTTCTTTATTTCTTGAAATTACCGTGTGCACAAATGGATGGTTCACGATGGCCGAAAAGGGTGGCTTTTTTGTCGGTGGCTGCTTAGGGTCGACAAATGTAGGCAATTGCGCTATGGTGGTGAAGCACTTTTCACGCCTGGACGCGTCGTCGTCGAAGTCAAGCATGATAGGATACTCCCAGCCAATAAGTTCAAGATGTACGTTTGAAATCCTATCAGAGTATAGTCCGACTCGATATGAACTCGGAATGGCGCTTTATGCCTGGTATACTTTGAAGATGTGTTGTCGTTACTGCCGTTTGGGTCGGAAAAGTGGGATTTGTAGATAGAGCTTGCGGACCGGACACTTCTTCAGCCCTACAAGGCTGTCCTTTGGAGCATACATATATCCAGACTTAGTCTTTCAATTTATCGTTCTAGGTCTACGCCTTATAGAAAGCTGGATAGTAAAATGATCTCCATTGTCTGAATGGATACGGTATGTCTACTCAGATATTCCTATGCCTGGCAACATCCTTCTAACCAAATTTATGGACAGATATCACTGATTCCCACCAAAGGCCTTCCCGCCTCCTTAAGCAGTCAGAGTATTATTTTGTCGGTGATAGAAACCATCAACGCTTGAACAGAACGATTAGGACATGGCCTCTTGGAGGCAATTCGAGGACAGTTGACTTGGCGAAGACAGGGTAGACTATATAGCGATCTGACCACAAACAGAAATCCTCTTTGAGAGTCGATCATCGAGGTGGCCCCATATGAATCTTATGGAGCAGATGTGATCATCGGCCTCAAGTAATTAATTAATTATTGCATGGATCGCGCTCAACCTCATAAGAGAGGAAGAAGCTTGTTATACATGTTTGTGCCTGAGGCATGCATCCTATCTTTGCCTGATAACAAGTGCAACGGACGCATTATCAGTTGTTCTCCAACTTTCTCATGCGCCCTTACTGAGCAATCCTCTGCAATTGACCTCGCTATCAATATTAGTCCGGTCTCGTATATATTCTGGGCTTCCTCCTGCCACTCGCGAGGGGCAATTCCTAATAGCACGAACCACAGCCCTTCGGGGCATGCATGTGGGTTTTCCACTGCTCTCCGCTGTCGCACGCAGTTCTGCCCGCAGCTCCCTCGCAGCATTAGCAAGCGATGGCTCCTCCACCACGACGAAATCTCCTGCCAAAGGAGCGATTCGCATTCGCATTCGGTAGCCTCAAGACTCAAAGCTATCATGACCCCATTGCGAGGGGTCCCGGGTCCCACACGTGCGTCTTCACCTTTGTTCACTTGGTGACCTCACCTTCAGAACCTCCGAGCTGACCGCGATTGTTGCTTCTCTGCCATAGTATCCGCACAATAGCGTGGAATCCTACCGGGCAGCTCATTGCTACAGGCTCGGCTGATCGAACTCTTCGCATCTGGAACCCCGAGCGCCCAGCAGTCAAATACTCGACCGAACTGCGCGGCCATTCCGCGGGCATCGAGAAAGTGTTATTTAACCCGGTTAGAGACTCCGAGCTGGCGAGTTGCTCGACGGATGGTACCGTCAGGTTTTGGGATGTGCGATCGAAGACGTGTGTAAGCCGTCTCGATGTCGGCGGAGAGGCATTCACAATGTCGTGGTCGGCTGATGGGAGGGTCCTTATGGTGGGAAGAAAGGTGTGTTGAAACAACCACGGATTAGACTTGGGACTTCAGAATCCTTAAACGCGGACTCGGAGCATGAGCCATGAGAAGCGACGTATCGAAGGGGGACTGACTTTTCCCGGATCCCAGGACGACACCCTGATCCCCATTTCGATAGAATCGCCCTCTTCATCATATATTCTGACAGACGGCGTTACCAACCTTCCCCCTACATCTCCGAATTCAAAAGAAGGAACGACAATCTACACCGCACTAGAATCCCATCCACAGCCTGTACAGACCAACGCAACAACCTTCTCCCACCACATCCCCACGCCCACCTCTCCCGACTTGCATCTCTTCGCAACAACAGGCGAAGGCACCGTCAAGATCATGTCGTACCCGTCCTTTGACGTTCTCCACACCCTTCACGCACACACATCCGCATGTCTCTCTATAGCTCTCGCGCCTACAGGCCGGTACCTCGCCGTCGGCGGCAGCGACGCCCTGATCTCGCTCTGGGATACAACGGACTGGATCTGCCGGCGCACAGTCTCGAGTAACAACGGGGGTGCCATCCGCGGCGTAAGCTGGAGCTTTGATGGACGTTTCGTCTGCGGCGCCTGCGACGAGGTAGGCTGCGGCGGGAACGGCCTGGAGATCTTCCATGCCGAAACGGGAGAGAGCGTCTACACAGTTCCTACGGGCGGCAGCAGTGCTTCCGGCATACCTACGGTTGCGTGGCATCCCTCGCGTTACTGGCTTGCGTATTCTACCACGGCTGATGGGCCCGGAAGTGCGGGTGCCGGCGGACTGAAGATCGTCGGCGCGGCTGGTGGAAGCTTATGAGGCTTAGTTGTTATATGCTATGCAGCTTCCTCAGCCTTGCTCGCCGTACTGTAGTATGTACTAGGTTTGGAAGACTGGTTTGGCGGCGAAACTGAACCAGGAGAATGAAATGGGATCTCCGCTCGTGGGATGTGTTGCATTAAGGCTATTTCCAAGTATTGAATCTGGTATGTGCTGATAGAGCATTATACAAAAACACGATACTTCCTCCATAGGTGTCATCATGTTACATTAGGAAAAAATCCAAATAGTCGCATACACCGAAACTCCAAACTTCAAGGCCATTGAAAAAAAAATCGTGACTTGGCCGTTATCAGACACCCGCCCAGTGTAGGGGTATCATGTATATCCAGCAGATGAGTTCAAACACTCAATTCCCAAATCCTTTTTTTTTTTTGAGAAGCTTGCAAATTGGATCAACAATGTTGGCCCTCGAAGGCCGCCTTCTCGGCTTAGCTTTGGTTTCGCCAGGCGTCCCAGTTATTGGAACTGAGGAGTTCTGCCCACTGGGTCTCACTGAGAGAACCCATTGTCGCGGGCGTTATATTGGTATTTTCTCCGTTGGATGTTTGCATAGCAGCAAAATCCCATGATGGAGGAATGGGGAATGGTGGCTCTGGAACAGTAGGATCGAGAGTTGGCATAGCGCCGGTTGAAAAGATATTATCATTGTATGTGAAACCGTCAAACTGCCCAGTATTCGTGGTGCCCGATGGCATATGCACCGACTCACTGTTACCGAGCACATGGCTGGTTGTTTGATTCGAGAAATTCATGGGCGAATGCTGCCGTACCTTTGGCGACGATGTGCTACTAGCACCGACGTAAGATGTGTTCGAGGACGATTTCACGGCTGACGATGTTGAGCCTTCTGATATCGGATTTCCATTGTCGTCGAAACCAGGCGAAAGGTCCATATCTGTCCCTGAGCCTACCGTCTCAGGCCCGGAGCTGAGATTATATGACGGTTCAACGAAAGACTGCGAAACACCAGCCATCGGTGCACCTCCCGAGTTCTGGTCTTGCGCTGGTGTTTGCCTTTGGCGATTTGGAAGTGAAGTAGAGGTCTGGAACTCGTTGTGCATAGGCACCATGGACGTGCATTTTCCGTTCACAAACCCAGGCAACTAAAACAAGGTAACGTTAGCAATTCCAGCCGGACATTGCCCATTGAAAAAAAAAAAAAAAATAAATAAATAAATAATATGGTGTGCGGCCTTACCCTGTTCTCAGTCATTGGACGCCGTATATCGCGGAACGCCGTTCCCTCGATATCAACGTCGAGCTGTACAAGGAACGACTCGGTCATGGGATTCTTGTTCTTCAAAGCATCAAGGGCTGAGAAGAAAAACTGCAAGGATGAACGAGCAGCCGAGTCGTCGGGCCGCGACTGCAGATACTGCACGAAGACCCGAGCGGCGACGTACACACAAAAGGACATGAAGGGATTCATCTATGGCAAATTAGCGCGGTGGCCGCTCAACGAAAAGTGGAGGGACTAACAAGAGTCAAATCTGTATGACTGATCATTTTCATAATGCTTGAAATTTGGTCCGCCGCAACAATACACCTCCGCTTGCTCTCGGTGATAATTTGGTCGGGCATCTTGTTCTTCTCCGCTTTAAAAATGGCAGCTTGATGTAGACAAATAGTCGACGTATGGATAGCCATGTTGCAGAAGACTACATTCGGGTCGGCTATTCCAGCTGGAAGCCGCAGATGACTGGGCATTGTCAACGCGAAATGGAGCAAAATATTGTCAAGAGACCTGTGCCTTTTCCAATACTCGCCATTTAGATCGTGGTCGTTATCTTTCGGATCAGGGCGATGGAGGTGGTTAAGATTGCGACCGAACATGCCTGACAGCAGTACAACACTTGCGAGAGATGACAAAGTCGCGATTCCATCCCCTTGCATAACGCTGCTGAGACGTAGAGTACGCTCAGGCTTGCTCTTAACAAATGATGCTTCACTGGCGGGTAAATTTGTCATGACCTATCGCCAACGGTCAGCAACTGCTATCAACCAGGGTGTAGCATGTTAGGTGCCGTGGGCAACTGGGTACAAGACTGACATCTTTTTCATCAATTATGACAGGCCATCCGGTTCCGGCACTAGCGTAGCGATCAATGCAGAATGCCACCCAGAAGGTTCTTCGTCGCTCTTCTTTTTCTGTCCAGTCTCTTGCGGGTGGTAAAGATTGCTTCACTTCGGGGCCCAACCCATCTAGCCGATGCAGGCCCATCATGAGCGCCAGTCGCGTAGCTTTACCGCTACTAAGCCAGGCTCGCGGGAAATACATCATTTTGAACTCGTATGTGCTGATCAGGATCCAAGTTTGGCAATGTGCCAGAGAAACTATGCTCTCCCCGAAGCCTTTCATTTCATCCAATTCAGCGTATTTGCGCGCCCGCCGATAAAAAAGGGCATGCAGGTTTGAGTATTTCTCACTCACCGCGGCTGCATGGCACCAGGTCATATACTGTAGACACACAGCGGGACGTATGTTGTAGGCTAAGTTCATGGCTGCTAGATGTCTCGGACGATGCAAGATGGGTAGCGAAGGATGCACTTTGTCGAAATAGATTTGGTTCCTGTCAACACATGAGATATTGATTTGGAGATGTGAGAAATGATATAGGCGTACAATTCATCGATAACATCCTGAGTTGGCAACGGTTCCTCGAGTCCCAGACCCAACATATCCCAACCGAAGTTACCCCCAGTATTGAGTCCTGGCGGTAGGTATGCCTGAGATAAAGCTTGTTGCTCGGCTATTGCCTGCGGAGGTGACAGAGAAGTGCTCAGATCGGTTGCGAGTAAGGGAACGTCCGGTAAGCTCGTCATCTCATTTTCATTCGATACTGGAATATGGTTATGATTTTCTTGAGTCTGGGCTGCACTCGGCTCCTGGGTTTTTAGCAGATTTTCAACCTGGGCTTCACGAAGACTAATATTAGCAATATGCAGGGTGCAGAGTCTCCAGTTCAGAGACAGCGCCGAAAGGGAAAGGGTATCACGTACCAAGGCGAGCTTCCAGCTGCTTCACATAACCTCGCTTTGGACCACTCTTTTTGCGAACCTCATCGTAAGCACATTCATGACCTAATCGAGAGCAAGTCCCGCAGCTCGGCCTCTTCCCGTCGCATCTCAGCTTCCGTCGCCGACAGACGACACATGCGATGCGCTTGGTACGAGGAAGATGGAGGTTATCCGCGTCGCCATGGTCGGTGGATGCTGATGGTGGGTCATGATTTGTCGGTGTAGGCCGTAACTGAGAAGAAGAGGAGGTAACGCTTAGGAAATTCTCGCCGAAGAGATCTGCCATGGCCTGGTAGTAGAGTTTTGTAGAAAAGGTATCGCTAAAGGAAATTCGCTGGCTCTCGGGACTATGCGACTCGACAAAGGCGCAAGAACGGAGGTTTCACGACCTCAATGATGAAGTACGAAAAGACATACCAATGCAGCATTGGAAGGCTTGAAAGGGAGTTGGAAAAGAAGAATCAGGAGAGAAGGGTCATGCTCGGGTCGAGAACAGGCAGTAGGAAGATTCGTTGACGTTGATCATTTTAGGTTGGCGACGGGCTGACAGCGCCACGATTGTTCCCCAATCTGGAACTGGTGATCACCCCGCGTCCTCAAAAAAGCCAGCCTCAAAGCACTTGTAACGGTCTAAAGTTTTGGAAGAGCCCTATGTGCCTAAGAATATAATTGGACATGTCTGTTACCAACCTAAATGAAATACGGGTCATATCGCATTGAGTATTTTTTTGGAGTCTAGATACGACAAGTTGTCCCTGAGAGTGGTAGTCCCGTTATCAGTAGATGCCACCGTCAGCCATCTGATTTCGTAATCTAGGTCGGTGTCTAAATGATGGCCTCAGGGCTAATTTGGGTTTGAAATTCTCTGAACATGCTGTTCGATAAGACAACTGGGATATGAAGAGGAGGCCTTTTTCCCCCCAGGTGATCATGTGTGTCCCGACCGTAGACCAGACAGCCATGGCGACGCATGGAAATACAATCTATCAACCATAAAAGCGAAGGAATAATCACAAGAATCTTGAAAGATATCGAAGACAGCATGCCTGGCGCCCAAATCGAGTCAAAATATGATACAGTGTGAGCGGAGGACCCATCCTCCGCAGTTAGACATGAAAATATTCGAGGAATACAATGAGGAACTGAAGGAAGCAAGGACATGTCACAATGCTAGATCAGTGACACACAGCCCTTGCACACGTTTCCCCCAATGGTCAAACAGTCCCCCGATGCAATAAAGGGGAGAAGAAACGTCAACGCAGACGAAAAGGGAAGCTCAGTTGTAGCCTCTGCGACGCTTGCCCTGGTTGCGGACTCTTGGGACCACCACAGCCTTGTTGATCTTCCACTTGGGCCGTGTTTTGTAGCCGGATTTGGCCTGGACAAGATGTCAGTAAATGAACGATCATAAAAGCATTAGGTCCTGTGATTTCGCATGTACATACCGGTAGACCCCAAGGACTCTTTGGATCGACGTTACCCTTCGACTTACCACGCCCACCACCGTGAGGGTGATCCATAGCGTTCATGGCGAGACCACGGACTGTAGGACGGATATTCAACCAGCGTGACCGACCCGCCTTACCGAGCTGCCGATACTGATGGTTAGGATTGCTGGCCACTCCAACCGTTGCGCAGCAGTCCTTGTGAATAAGTCGAACTTCACCACTTTGGAGACGAATGGTGACATGTTGAGCGATACGTTCTTGCTTCTGCTTCTCGCGCTGGGAGAGGGGCTTCTGGACTTCCGTTCCATCCTCCTGGGTTTCGACCTCGTTGGCCCGGGTTTTAGTATCGCTGCCCTTCGAGATGACAGTTGCGTAGGTGCCCGCGCTCCGGCACAGCTGACCCCCCTTGCCAGGACGAAGTCCAACGTTGAATATCAAAGTACCTACGGGAATCATGTGCAAGGGCAAGCAATTTCCTCTCCAAGCGGTCCTGGCAGCGAGAACACCAGGATCAACGGTACCTCCCATACTCTTCCAAAGATCCTCCGGAATACCAGACATATAACTCTGAACAACGTCGCCAGCTCTCATACCTTCCGCAGCCAGGATGTAGCTCAGCTTCTGGGTTTCCTGGCTGCGCACGAGCGCGATATGGGCACTTCGCCCAGGGTCGTGTTCGATGCGTTCTACTAGATGTGGCCCCGGAGCAGTTCGTGCAAAGTCGACAATCCGAATGCGGCGTTTGTGACCACCACCACGGTGCCGAACAGTGACCCTACCCGTGTTGTTTCGACCACCCTTGCCCTGACCTCGTTTGGGGAATGTCAACTTGTGCACCGGACGTCCCTTCCACAGATGGTCATTGACTGGCCTTCGCAAATGTCTGATACCGGGAGTCCGCGGCTTGTACGATCGAAGGAGAACGCCAGCGTCATCACGGGTTGGTGGAGGGGCAAAGGCGATGCTTGGATCGAAGGTTGAGCTGGATGAGTCTTCGACCGGGGGCTTCTCTTGCTCGTGGATGGCTGTTGCATATGCTCGGGATGATACTGAAGACAGGCATCTGAAGGGTAGGCGAAGACCCGTCAGGACAAACCGAGGTTGAAGCATGATGTCAAGTTGTATCTCGATTGATCGGAAATATTCCAGGCGCTGCCGGAGGTGCGAGATTCGGAGTGCGCGATTTGAGGAGCAAGTAAGCAATCAATGGCAGAGCATACCCCCTCAATGCTGAACGATAAAATCAGAGATAAGATCCAGACACCCTCTCAACGATGACAACACTCCTTCGCCAATGGGAGTGTCGTCGTGATCTTCTTGTGCTCCGGAAAATGTCTTCGGCTTTCTGGTGCGGATGTGGCTCGCGAGAGATCACCTGACTTGCTGCACGGCCACCGCATGCCAATTGTGGCACAGCAGGGGGAGATCACGGGACTGCGCGACACGGCAACACGTCGAATGCAAGGTTCAGAGGTTCAGCCGGTTGCTGGGCAACAACATATTGTTTTGCTGGTCGGGCGCGCGCTGCATCACGTTTGATGCCCGCGATGGCGTCTGTTCTGACTTCCTGCCTGGGGACAAACTTTCAGGCATCGATACTGATTCGACAGAGAGCCTCCACCACTGTAAATAATCGTTCTGTCGATGACGATATCTATACGGAGATTTCCGTACCTTGCTTTGCTTCCTGCCTGTCACCTTGAATGCATTCTGTATCTACGTGTAGAGAGCAGTCACTGTATGAATCTATTGGAAGTAGTAGCTAAGCTATTTGAGAAGAGATATTGAATATGCCCTATAAGTTGGAGCACTTTTCAAAGAATAATTAGTGAGTCGAGCTGGTAGCCCTGTAGTAGGTACCGGAGATTTTCGATACTTCTTCTGGTCCATCTAGTGAAGATCCATAAGGTACAATACCTTAGTACCTATTACCTTACCATCTGGGAGACTGCCTTTTATTACCGTCACCACCCCTTTCCGTCCATCTTTTACTTTGGCTCTCTGCAGTGTCTCATGAGGTGTCTCGTATTTTCCTTTTATCAGATGCCATTCTTCGCTCATAAACTATATTAATTGAGCCAAGTATCTCATATCTCATACTTCATACGGGGTTTATCAAGATCAGCTCTTCCATCTTCTACGCGGTATCTACATCATACAACTTGGTGGTTGTGCTGTGGGGCAGCTTTGCCAGCGTAGTTTGTTTCCACGCTAAGCGTAGGGCCAAACATCGCCTTTGCCCTGTCAACTTTACCAACCTTCTTTACACCACCCCAGCAGTACTGCTTCTTCAAGACAGTGAATAGGATCTCAAAAACACACAATCATCGGTTCTTCGCGTGTCGTCTCTAGCCATCGAGACATTTTATGAAAATCTGCTCGCTGACACGAAGTTCTACTTGTTTTGCGCGCCCGAATAGGACGTGATTGAGACCTCAAAAGGTTCTGTCAACAACATCATTGGACCCATATATGCGATTATTTTTGACGACTCTGCAACAAAATTCTCTTCCTATAAGTAGGAATTCTCCTTCAAGTTGCATTGCTGGTCATTGAACGTATTTCCACGCGTGGTACGTGCAATCTGAGCCTTGGCTCTCAGGTATTTTATCCCCACCGGGGTGATCTCCTGGAATGCTGACTGGAGAGCTTCTGCAGGTCGACAATAGCTACAGTATATCTCCTTTCTTTTTCCTTCGCTTTCCTACGTACTTCTTCTCTCTCATCTCTTCAGCATCATGCCTCCGGTAAGTTCTACCCATGAGAGACACGCGTAATGTTTCTATCTATCACCTTTCGAATGCCATTGCGCTCTTTGGTTTGATGATTGCAATTGTATTCTGACTGATCTTGTAACCAGGCCCGAGGTCTTCGTACACGAGGTACAATGAACGAAAATGACGAGAACGGGCCGTCGACGCGTCTGACACGAGCAAAGGCCGCTGCTCTGTCAGCAGGAGATGTTCCAACAACCACCGCGGCTGCTAAAAAACCTCTTCAGACCAAAAAGGCCGCCACCAACTCGACGACCACGGGAACACAAAGAAGACGCGCTGCCCTTGGAGATGTCAGCAATGTTACAAAAACGGAAGATGGCGAGGCCAAGGAAACGAAGAAATCAGCGTCTGGCAAGGTCGGCTTGACGTCGAAAGCTACCATGCAGACTGGTGGTGTTCAGAAGCTGAGCAAGAACAACTCATCACGTACGGCCTTGGGCGCCAAAGATAACAACGCGAAGAAGCCTGCGGTTGAGGGAAAGCGTCCTGGAAGTGGTTCTGGTACCGGCAGCACACAAATGAAACGGACGTCCAGCCAGAAATCGGTGCAGGGGAAAACCCTGCAGACCGACGAACCGCCGCGCAAGAAGGTCGAAGTCGAGAAGAAGGTCAACGAGAGAAAGACAGCCATGGAGAAAGTTTCCACAGTGAAAGAAGATCCTGTGATTGCCGCTGAGCCTGAAGTCGCCAAGAAGCCTGAGGACGCAGTCGACGACTTGGACACTGAAGATTTGGACGATCCTCTGATGGCCGCTGAATATGTGGTGGAGATCTTTGACTACTTGAGAGACCTGGAGTTGGAGACATTACCCAACCCTCACTACATTGATCACCAACCAGACCTTGAGTGGAAGATGCGTGGCATTCTTGTCGACTGGCTGATTGAAGTTCACACACGCTTCCGTCTCCTCCCCGAGACGCTTTTCCTCGCTGTGAACATCATCGACCGTTTCCTTTCTGCTGAAGTCGTCGCACTTGATCGCCTTCAATTGGTCGGGGTTGCCGCCATGTTCATTGCTTCCAAGTATGAGGAAGTTCTTTCACCCCATGTGGCCAACTTCAGTCACGTCGCAGACGAGACATTCACAGACAAGGAGATTCTCGATGCCGAACGCCACATCCTAGCCACTCTCGAGTACAACATGAGCTATCCTAACCCCATGAACTTCCTCCGTCGTATTTCGAAGGCAGACAATTATGACATCCAGACTCGTACCCTCGGCAAGTACCTCATGGAAATTAGCCTTTTGGACCATCGTTTCATGTGCTATCCTCAAAGTCACGTCGCCGCAGCCGCGATGTATCTCGCTCGGTTGATCCTGGAACGTGGGGCTTGGGTAAGGACCTTCGCACTTGCGAGGCAGAGTGACTTTGAAAAGCTAATTCAAACCAGGATGCCACCCTAGCGCACTATGCTGGCTATACCGAGGAAGAGATCGACCCTGTTTTCCGATTGATGATCGACTACCTTCACCGTCCTGTATGTCACGAAGCGTTCTTCAAGAAATATGCAAGCAAAAAGTTCCTCAAGGGTAAGCTCTCCAGGATCATACCGTCAAAATTCAATAGCAGCTAATCAGTCTGTCTAGCCTCCATCCTTACCCGGCAGTGGGCCAAGAAATACCATCACATGTACATTGATAGCGCACTCACGGAACCGTACAACTTCATCAAAGAAAGTGAATAGGCGCGCATCGATGTTGTGCTAGCATGCTGATCATGGCCTCGATATGCCACATAACTCCGTGTTAGAGCAACGGATTCAATTCAACTTATATGTCGGCATTTGTTTGTTTGTGATGGTAAAAGGGCACCTCTTGCATACGGTTATGACGGCATTTCTGTTTTCCAGTTTGCGTACGTTGGCATTATCCGCTTCTCTCGGGGGTGTCTGGCGCATCGTCTGTTCAAGTTCTTTAAGCTTTTTTTGGTTTCGGCACTGTCTTCGGGGTTGTTTCGCACAAGCTTTGATTGATACCTTCTACAAATTCTTCTTCTTGCCCGCCTATGGGTATCACAACTGTTGAAAGCTTCAGGGTTGGAAATGTATTTCCATTTGACTTAATTTTTGGTTCGATCACGTCTGGTCTTCCGTATGTGCCGAATTTTCCTCGTACGCAGCTGACTTCACGGGTCAATGACGCTTCAATGCCGCTGTAGTTTAAAGACGAGAATCCGGGTTGTCAAGGTCCTGTCGAGATATACGGATAAGCAAAGAACCGCAGCTATCAGTAGTCGAAATTAAAGTATAATTTGAATTCGAACAATTCTGCAAAGCTTTGCCTTGGTTAAGTTTCTATTAAAATTCTCGAGTAGTTCTCACAGCTAGAGGTCCAAAATGTGGTAGAGCGACACCACAAAACTGTATAGAATGGTAGGTAGGTGTGAAAATTAAAGCCGAGGCCCCGAGTGAGGAGTATCACTTTCACCCCAGCCACTTTGAATTCATCAGGTCAGAATCACAACTCATCCAGAACGATCGAATAGTTGAAGTCACAAGCTTCCTGATACATTGGCTCAGAATATATAGCTTTTAAGCTTGTAGTGATACACTGTTTTGAGGTCAATCGTCCCCTCAATTCGCCCAGGCAGATGGGCCTCTGCTTCAGACTACCAAGCGCTCGCAACCATACTTGGACCTCATTGATGCTCTCATCAACAGAGACCCAATCCAGGCTCTATTGAGACAGAATAACAAGATGGCTGTACCGCCGCCATCAACGTCATGCCCCTTCTGCCGCATCGCCGAAGCATATCCTCCCATCCCGCCATCGATGTTTCATCCTCGCCAGAAACAGGATGGCGCACAAGAATCAGGCATCATCCCCACAGATACGGCACAAGAAACACATGCGCACCTTGTACTTTCGACTCCACATGTCCTGGCCTTCTTGGATATCATGCCGTTGACAAGGGGCCATGTTCTCGTCGTCACGAGAGACCACTACGAGAAGTTGAAGGACATGGGCGTTGAAGTCAGCAGAGAGGTCAGTATACCCTCGAGCCCTCCGCTCAGGCTACAAGAGCAAATTCTAAAGAATCCGGCCGCGCAGATTGGCCAGTGGCTCCCTATCATCTCGCGGGTCGTGATGAGAACTGTCTTTGGCACGGAGCCTGAATCAGAGTGGAGTTGGAACGTGGTGCAGAATAATGGTTCGTCATCTACCCACTTTCGCTGGTTAGGACTCTCACTCAAGCATCGAACAGGCATCAGGGCCGCACAGCAGGTGCCTCATGTGCATTTCCATGTCATTCCCAGGCCGCCGTTGGATCCTGCGCCTACGGCAGCCAAAATGAGTTTCGTCATGTTTGGTCGGGGGCAGAGGGATGAACTGGATGATGAGGAGGGAGAGACGTTAGCCAAGGCGCTGAGAGAAGAGCTGGCGAGGGAAGTTCGCCGAGTGGAAGAGAAAGAAGGCATTGATTTGAATATGGCGGCTACGGATGTGCGTTATCGGACAAAGGGGAGGCTGTGAGGGTGCAGCCTTATGCTACTGTTCGTTATATCTGTGCTGATGTATGATACCTACGTCGCATTCTATCTTGTGATACTCTCAAACGGGACTTGAAGTTGGCTCCTATGAGGGGTATTATAATCTGTTAAGTGACAATGATTGTGAGCTGCCTTCATATTTCTACACAAGCTTTTTATTTCATCGAGATACATCGCTTTCTGTGCCGGATTTAGACTTGGAGTTGGGGTTTTTCATGAAATACTGAACCTCTGTTAGTCATATACTCTCTGCAGATATAGAAAAATAGACAATGACTGACCTTTCTCCTGAAGGCATTAAGCTCATCGGCATACATCCCCTCTGCATCAGCTTTCCTTCGTCCCACAGAGACGTCTGAGGTCTCTCCTTCCGGGAGTCTGCGGTAGGTGATGAGGCGGCGGGACCCTAAGACGCCAAATCAGACATGGTGCTATTGCACTGCGTTCTTTACATGACTTACAATTGTTGAACGGCTGTACAGAGACACACACAACCTCCAAGTTTGGATGCATCGGGATGGCCAATTCCCCTTCCTCGTCGCTGGATGTCGGCATCCACATAGCCAGCCGTCCATTTGTAACTAAGGTTCGCGAGGCGAAGTGGAGGATGTCATTTTGCATGGCCTCAAATCCATAAGGTTTCTTCGGCGCAATGTAGTCCGGCCGCCTGAAGATGCATAAGCAACCATGGATCGATACGTCCTTGATGGGAACTTACAGATGCGCTGGAACCCCATCGACCAAGACCTCTTCCTTCCCACGGCCATCGCGAGTACCCAAAACTCGAAGCCCTTCACGGACACCGTAAGGAGGATCACAAATGATGCCGTCTAGGAACTGACTGGAGCGGAGAGGCGTATTTGTCAGATCGGAAGTAAAGACATCCACGAATCTGCTTTGAGTGCCATATTGCTGGAAATTCGACAGTACTCCCATCGGTTTACCCTTCCCCATCTCTTTACCACGAAAGCTACGTCCATCAATGTCCGAGCCGAGAGTCAGGGCGCCGAAGTGAGCAGCAGCAACGCAGAAGCTTCCAGTTCCCACAAATGGATCAAAGAACAGCTTTCCGGGCGCTGCATGAGCCATATTAGCCGTGACTAAGCTCAACTCAGCGTCCATCGATGTGGTGCTGATATACCGACGCTTCTTAAGGTCGTACTTGTTGATGACCTCCCGGCTACTATTAGCAACCCAGCGTCCGAAAAAGATCTTCTGCGGAGTTTGTAATTCAGCCAGTTGTGTTGTACTTGATGAGGTCGTCGTCTTTGACATTGCAACGTCTGGTATGTACTCCTCCAGCACCCAGAAATCCTCATCTGGGTTCTTCATCCGAATGGGACCCTGGAAGTCAAGATAGGCGAACGACTGGATAATGTCTCGTTTCTCTTCATTACTTCGCTTTCCCGCAAAGCTCTCGATGGTAAACCGGAATGATACCTCCTTGTAGTCGTTCCAGCGATGCTGGGTCCGCCTGCGGACGTCGCAATGAACTTCTTCATAGTTGGTGCCTTGGGCCCAGAGCTCGAAGATATCCTTCGCTAGGATGCTACGAGCAATAAGTGCGCGTGCAGCTTCCTCATTTGCTAACTTGACAATGCAATATGGTGACTGCTCTTTCGGTCAGCCGTGCATGTAATAATATATCGATATATTTTTGTCGAATGATGGAGGCGCGGGGAACAAAAAAAAATCCAACCTGAACCCCCTCCAAGATCATTACGATCCGACATGGAAGGTGAACCGCGGTCAGGGAAAAATGTAAGAAGAGCACCTACAAATTCGTTGTAAGAAATAATCTCAAGGTCGACTTCAGCCAAAGCTGCCAGTGCTTGGATCTCCGGCCGTCGAAAACTTTCGTGCACTTGAGCGAAGCGGATCAAGTATTCCATTGCGATGGGACCAGGCCAGGATGCGGCCTTTGGTTCTGAATAGACGAGGATAGGACAATGAATTACTCCTAAGTATGCATGAGCGGGTAAGGATGAATCTAGTCCAGCCTTAGCTGTATGGTGCGTCAAATGGTGCTTGCTTCCACTATGATGACTTTTGTTCGATTCTTCTACTTTTGCCGCGAAACGGAACCTGCTACTATCGGTCCAACCCACACTGCAGGGAATGGGCAGAAAAATGAGGACAATACGCTACAACTCGTCTCGGTGCCAAAATCATCTTAATTACTAGAAAATAACTTCCATGACCTTAAGGACTCTATTCTTGGTGAGGGGTTCGCTTCTTGCCAGCTCCAGCTCTTATGTCCGTGTAAAACAGTGAAATAAATGACAAACAAATCCTCTACTGAAGTTGACCTTCAGTATAACCTTGTATAACCTCTGACAGACGACACTGCAAGATGCGAATATTAGAATAAACCCATAGACCTGCGCCCATCCCCAAACCGATAGACAGTAACGAAATAACCATGATAAGACTCCGCCGCTATGCGCCCACAACCTTAAATACATGTCGTGAATCATATCCTTCAACACGAGTAATCTCAACCTTCTCATCGGGGGGTATCATGTCATGTTTCAAGTCCCAACCGGCCCGACGAGACAATTCGGAGACTACAACATCGCAATCACCCAGGAGGTCAATATCGAAGCACGTATGCGTCACAGGCTACACAATCGGTCAGTTCCAAGGCGAGAAATGTCCATGGGATTGGAGCGTAACGTACAGTACGAGAGATGTAGATCTGAGGGACATGGCGTGGGAGAACACCCGGCACTTCAGCCACAGGTGCTACTTTCAGAGATGTACCAATCACGATTACCAAGTCCACTTTATCGCGGTCATGATGAAGCAGACGACGGCCAAACTCATCGGGCAAGTCCTCGCCAAAGAATGTAATGTCAGGCTAGACAACAATTAGCTGTCAGTTGCCATTAGGACCTCAATGATTGTTGACGCTAACCTTCATAACGCCAGGAGTGGGAATCTCGTAATCTTCCTCCTCCGAACTGTCCTCGCCATCCTTCTTCCTGTTCTTCTGCGTTCCGTTGGACAGCCGTTTGCGTTTGAGCCCCTGCGGCTTCAAAGAATCGTCTTCGAGCCTCTCTTTGCAAGCCATGCATTCGGGAACAATGCCTCTTTTGATGTCGTCGAAAATCTCTTCGCCTTTCACTTTGTGACGACACTTGACGCACGTAGCTGTCGCAAAAGAGCCATGACATTGCAGAATTTTCTCCGGCAGAATACCTGCGTTGGCCTCGATATTGTCGATGTTTTGAGTATAATTGGTCAATAGTTTCCCTTGATCCTGAAGGAGCTTGATGAACGCATGAGTGGGAGAGAATTTCTTCTCCGTGGGCAATATATCTTTCGCGATTGAAAAAAAAATATTTGGATCCTCACGGAACACATGAATATCAAAAACCTCCTGAGGGTCACTTAGCCCCAGGTGTTCTAGCTGAGCATAGAGTCCGGTATCTTTCGAGCGAAAATCGGGGATTCCAAGGCTCGTGGAGATCTTGCGAAGATTGTCAGTACCAAATTAGCCAAACAAGCATCTGGATCTGAAAACCTACACCTGCGCCAGTCAACACAATGATATTCTTGGATTCCTTGAGCAACCGGACGGCATCGTCAATTGTATTGTATTGAGGAAGCTTCGGCCGCCTTGAGAATTCGCGCGAAATCCCGATCGCAAGAAGAGGGTGATATGCTTCATCCGGGGCCCCTTCCAGGAAAGCTGGAGGCATAATTCCAAACGCAGTACATAGCTTCTTCGCGGTGACTGTATCACGAGCTATCGTTTCCTCAACGAAGGCAGCCTTTCCGATTTCATGTAGTCGTTCGCGATAAGCTATGGCTTCTTCCAGTGTGCAAGCACCCGGCACTGATCAAGATCATGGTTAGCGGAAAGACGCTACTGAAGGGAGTGGCATGTATAAGCCAGGCGCATAAGGAAGGATCTTACCGCCATCGCGAAGTTGCTCATCCTTCAGTACTTGAATCGCATCTTCGTACAGGGACTCAGCTTCCCAGTCCTCCCCAGAGTCATCGCTGTCAGTCTCATACTCGGAATGGGATGTCTCGCCCACCACAGCAGCCTTGTCTTCGGCCTTGATGGTCCCTCCCGTCTCCACGGCTGCCATATCAACGGCTTCCACTTCGACCACCGGATCCTTCAAGGACGCGCTCTCCCCGCCGGGCACTGATATTACGTCCATCCTGAATAAAGATTGGACACTGCCAGCTGCCTCTATGAGGGACCTTCACTCACATTGAGCTTTTTGCCACTCAAAGTCGATCGCTGGGATAAATTTGGTTCTGGGTATCTCTGGGTAAAGCGGTCGGAGTGGACTTAATCCGATTCCGACTCCTATATTGAGTGACAAGTCAGGGATCATTGATATAGCAAGCAGTTGAGACTGGCGTTTACTGGTCCAAGGCTGGTCCACAGCAGGCTTGGGTAGTCGTCGAATAATCACTGCGATTTCTATGGAAACCTCCTTTGTTAATGGAGACAAATCCAGCTGGCTTCTGTGCATTAATATAATCATCTCTATTGGTATCATGACAGATATTCATCAAACATATATGACTTGGGTAACTTTTATCAATCCGCCATCTCGTGGTCTTCATCTGACTCGCCCTCAATCTCTTCTTCCCAATCCCCTTCTTCCCCTTCGGCATCCTCTGCGTTGCTGTCATCTTCCATATCCTCGCCTATTTCTTTGTTCATCTCTTCAACCAGCTCAAGAGCATGCTCCTTGAGTCTTTCATCTTCATACTGGACCAGGTCGTAGAGGGTCAAACTCTGTTTCAACCACTCGCGACTGGCCACAAGGGAGGCTAGTCGCTGTGACTCGGGCGATGCTTCTGCTTCTGCGTCCTTTGGCGCCTCTCGCTTCTCCGCGAGAAGATAAAGACACCAACCACCCAGGTACCATGCTTCCACGCTCTGGTCATCTTCCAGAATCAAACGTTCCAAGACTTCGAGGGCTTCCAATTCCATTGTAACCTCCATGAGTAGACGCGCAAGACTGACTCGAGTTGCAAACTCCGGAACCCTTGGATCTTCAGGAGGCAAGTCTTTCCATAGCTCAAGACTTCGGGAGAGTGCAGCTCGGGCATCATCTTGTCGTAACTGGGATATCCTGATGGATGCTAGTGTCTGGAGGACTTCAGGCGCTTGAGGATCAACCAAGAGAGCTTCCGTTATGAGAGATTCGCACTGGTTTTCGGCATCTTCTTCCCAACTGGAGGCTGTCAGATTATTCCAAGAATGAATATGTTTGGGTAAAATGCTACTCACGAGAGATCTGTCATATAGATTTCAGCTACTCCGCAGAGTGCGTTCGCCATCTTCTTCTTCTTTTCTGCCAACTCTGCAGCAGCCTGAGGGTCCTGCTTTTCCTCCAGCTGCTGGATGATTGTTCTTAGAGCCGAAACACCTTTCTCGAACCACTGAACACTGTCCTTCCCTCCAGCTTCGCTCAATTGAGCCAGCCATAAAAACTTCTCAGCACCACCCCCATCGGGCTCGGGTATTGTGCCATTCGGGTCGAGCTCCACCGCACGTAAAAAGCATTCTCTTGCAGCATTGATATCCCCGAGTTCGACATAAATCTCGCCAATAGTGTTCAGGGCTGATAGTTGACTGGGAGAATTGGCGGGCGCAGAACTGAAAGCCTGCTGAGCTGCTGCAAGCGCTGCGTCTGCTTGTCCCGTTTGAAGTAAGACGACCGCTTGCTCAAGGAGTGTCGCAGGATCCTCGTTCATTTTCTGTTTGGATACTGAACCGCCAGCTCGGAGAACGGACTTTTCGTGAGACTTCGAAGCCTTCTTCTTGTGAGGTCTAGATTTGCCCATGGTATCTTACTGGGCTGGTATGTCTTGAACGTACTGTAGAATTCGTCGCGAATAGAAGAGGTCGGTTTCAAATTGTATAGATTATCATAACAAGTATCCAACAGCGTGGGCTCTGTCGAGTTTGTATTCCAGATAGGCGGAGTAGCATTGAAATTATTCCCTTTTTTGGATGAAATAATTTTGGACGTTTCTTATCTGTTTGCCTGGTTTGCATGCGGGACCGCAAGATCGTCTATGGGCATTCCTGTGCACTCCAGGCTTGAGAATAGCTGTCAAATGAATATAGTTTAAGTCTTTGGGGTCAGGGCTCTTGTACTAATTCGGACGTCTGAGTGTCTGCACTACTGTCCTTACAGTGCATCTGTGTGCGAAAACCTACTCGCAATACCCCACCAACCACTAGCACATTTGAAGCAGAATGGGCCGCGAAGAGCAGGTCGAGGAGCGCGAGGTGCTCGACTCTATTTTTCCCGAAGAGATTACAGGTTGGACTTCAGCTGTCTTGATTCGCAGTTGCGATCTTGAATGCAGTCAGCTGCTGATGGTGAATTGACACAGATATTTCCGACACCGCATACCGGATATCCATTAATTTAGAGACGCCCGAAAATGACGTCCGAGATGAGGAAGAAACTGAGCAGCCAGTCCTGATTCTTCAGGTATCATATCCGCCAGAATACCCCGACGTTGCCCCGGACCTTGACATCTCGACCCCTCCAAACGCACCCAAGCACCCTCTGCTAGACATCCAGGAAGATCGTGATCGACTCCTTGAAGCCTTGCAGTCAACTATTGAGGAAAACTTGGGAATGGCTATGGTCTTCACTCTGGTCAGCACTTTGAAAGATAGTGCCGAACTACTCATGGCTGAACGGGCGAACGCTGTCCAGGCCCTCAAGGAGATGGAAGCTGCGAAGGCAGAAGAGGAGGAGAATCGGAAATTCCAGGGTACAGCGGTGACTCCTGAAACATTTTTAGAGTGGCGGGAGAGGTTTAGAAAAGAAATGGAGGAAAGGGAGCAGAGGGAGCGCGAGGAGAAAGAGGCGGACGAAAAGAGGCCAAAGAAGACACTGGCCAAAGAAGAGAAGAAGCTTACTGGCAAGGAATTATGGGAGAGAGGTCTGGCAGGGAAAGCTGACTATGATGAGGACGATGAGGATGCTATTCCAGTCGCTGTTGAGAAGATGAAAATTACTGCATGAAGAAGTGCTTTGTCTTAACAGAGTGCTGGTATATCTGGATTGATTTTGCTCCAGCATTCACCTGTACATAACTGGATCTAACATTAAATACAATTGCTGCGAGTAGCGCTGGACACCGAGAAGAATCACGCATGAGATATCCTCACCGATGACTTTGTAGATGGCTGAAGTATTCCACCTACAGACACCGTGTAATCCGTATAATTCGTACCATGTCCTAATTGAGCTAATCTCGCTGTCCCCAAGGACGAAAGGGTATGATTCCGGGATAGACTGGCTGATCAAAACTATCCCATTTAGATGCTTGCTCATACCGCAAGCTGCAACAGGAGTAGAGCTGGTTGTCCCTAAGTCTCTCTAAGGATTGACCACCCAATTTTCACGTTCGAAACACTTGAGGGTGACGTACTAACGCCCGCATCAAGTATTACGGGGATGAAATCGTGGGCCCACGGTTACCCCTCAGCATCATAGTCATTTCGATGCTGTTGGAATTCTCGCATAAGTGAGCTGCTCGGCAACAAACTGTCAGCTGTGCTCACTGCAGCTGAACGAGACGGCAATCTCTCGGATAGTAGGATAAGGTTATGGAGCCTCGCAGAGCGCAAACTTCACAATATAAAGCGTGGCCTTTAAGAAAGGAAGACCGCCTTTCTGATACAACCCTTCATCTTTGGGTGGACCTCTGTGTTTCTTCTTCCGCAGCCAATTTGCGTTCCGCAAGGACAACTTGCCACATCGCCTCGGCAAGCTCCTTATTCTTTAAATCTGACTCCTTTAGCTGCGTGTTCACCTCGGTCAAAGCTTTCCTGATTTCAGCAGCCCATGTCTCTGTCTCTGGCCGACCAAGAGTCAACTGATCCCACTCATCCTCGTCCTTGGCGAATAGTATTTCAACACCGAGCTTTTCCCGGCGCTCTATCCGACGCCAGCGCTTATCGAGTTTTGTCCGAATAACTCCGCTCAAATTCTTGGGCTGAGGCTTCTTGATGCGCAGGAAAGGGATTCCCCGTGCGCTGACGAGCACAGGGACCCGGCGTCTTCCATTCACCATGGCTCGGGGCCGGGAAAGGATAGAAGTGGCGTCCGGATGCCTTCGTGCAGTCATTTCTTGAAAGCGCCTCGATTCTTCTTTCTTGAGTTCTCTCTTGGATAAAGGCCTTGGTTGAACCGTGCTAGCTAATGCTTTTTGGAACTCAGTGCTCTGTTTTTTAATCGATTGACTCTCCCAAACTAGTGTCGCAATACGGTGGCGGTCATGTTCATTGCCCTGAGACGCTGAATGTAGTAAGTCGAGAGCCTGGCAGATTGAACGGATAGTGTATTAGTGGTAATGTCACGGAAGACGACACTGAGTGACTGAGAGCCGTACCTCATATCCAGCTTTCAGGGCATTGACAGTCTGTGACGGACTTTGAAGATTCTTGTACTTATGGAACTTTTGCTGGATTAGCGACTTGGATGGCTGGAGCCCAGGTACTGCACCTGGCAATTTGCTGCACTGGCGGAGGAGTGCTCGATACAGCGCCAGACCTAGAGACGACTGGTTAGCATTTGCCAAATATGCTCTAAATAATAAAGAAATCTTCTAATATGGTACTCACAAGCATATCGATGCGTCCCGGAAGATTTTGGGACGATAAGTCGATGCATAGCTTGATCAATAACTAATAATGATTTGCTATTCATTTAATCTCAAGAACATGTGATTATGAAACAAGATACCTCTATAATGATGTCGGTTGAGATCACGTGATGGCATTGAGCTATATAGGTATGCTTGACGTCCGGATGTTGTTCAGAAACATATTCGGAAGATCCCTTTCATCTATCAGTGTACTTTCACCTATTAACCAGCCATCTTGTCTGGGAGCCCTCGTTACGCTCTCAATCGCATTTGCCCCCTGATGTCTGACATTCGGAAGCATGTCTGGTCCCATTGTCTAGGTCTATATAGGTTGGACGCAAATAACCCCCGACTGAAATATTAAATATGAAGCCACATTACTCTCATAGTCGCTGTTACCAGGTTAGAGTCAGATATAAACTCTGGCACGTTTCGCATTTTGATTGCCTGAAAAATGGGCTTCTAACGAAACCACGCCAATACCTGCTGATATGCATAGACTGTACACGCTCTAGAACTCAATGTGGTAAGGAGAGAGACCTAACGTAAGAACCGACCTGTTACTCCAATGATCATTGCTTGATCCATGTACAAGGCGATAGACTCAGAAGTTGGTGCCTTCTGGGGGCTGGGGAAGCTTCTTGTGTTGCGGTAGGGCCATGTATCTGAGCGATTGGTTAGCCTACGCTCGGAAGGTAGATGGAAGGTCGAATACTCGCCTTCTGATCTCAAGTAGAATCGTCTCCATGGTATATTCTCGTTTCCACTGGGCCAGACAGGGGAGTTTGGCAGGATCGACCTAAGCGACAATTAGGAGATATCCTTATTGACTGGAGAAGTAGCGGGCCCAGGTTCATACTTTTCCCGTTTTCTGGTCGACGCATGGGATGTTGACGCGCGAAATGAATTGGATAGTTGGGGGGTTATCAGGATAGTCAGGACCGCAATGGATCTGGACACTGTATATCCGATTCTCGTGGACGCTCTAATTTCCTTAGATCAGCTGGCTTGTAGGTTTGACGATCGGAAAGAGAGGACGAACATGGGGTGGGCCAAGAATGGTGCCGTTCCAATTGCTCATCATCATATCCTCGCCATCCGCAAGACCGTAGGAGCACGCCTCTAAATTGGAGAGCATCATGATATCAGAGGAGTGATGCGTCATGACAAACTGGTCGCATGCTCACCTGCTCCCAAGCCCTTCTCTCCCTTTTCAAGCTCCTCAAGAAGCCTGAAGTTTCTTGGAATCTTTGCGGCCATTGCAGTGACAGTTCTTGAAGACGGGACGATACGAGTTATGTACTCGGACAAAAAGTTGTTGGAGAGAGCGAGATTATCCTACCTTATCAAGGCGGGAGGAAGAGGGGCACTCTGAAATGCAACTACTTATTTTGGTTAGCCTGCGTGCCTGAGGTAAAAGTCACCGCTGCCTTGATTTCAAGAAGAGTCATCTCACGTGATGATAACGCCAGCCACATGTATCACGTGGGGCAGACATAGCCACTGATGTCTTGGCATTCCCTGGAGAAGCCACCTAGTACCAGATAGAGCTATCTATCACAGTAACGGTGTATGTGGATCAACACAATTGCATTGTCTTTGCTGAGTGGCTGCAACACAATTATCTTTTCCTCTACTCCTTGACGACTCATGGCTGTTATTTGGGAAGTAAAGTGCTGAGTTCTGTTTCGGGTGTGGAATTTCTTAGTCTCCTGACAATCCACTAAATGCTCCATGAACGAATAACAGCCAACGCCTGATCGCCAGTAGGGAGAAAAGTCAAGGAGATATTCCTCGGACTGGTAGCGCTGGGCATGGTGCGACTGTACACACTGATCGGAAATGTCCTCACAGTTCTTGCAAACAGAACTCTTGAATCTGATTCAGGAGTCCAAACGGAAGAATTCTGACTTGCGAAATGTTTGCTTCCCATCTATTAGAGGCGGTTCCATGAAACTCACGCTTACTGACGGCCTAGGCTGCTGAGGAGTCACTGAATGATTTGAAGGCGTTGCCTTCAACTTCCGAGGCTCAGATATCTGCTGGTGGGTGTCAAGCAATGCCATACTTCGCCCTTGTTGCTGCTTGGGAAGATTACTGAGTACCCAGGAGATCTGGTGCGCAAACCTAGATTTGTCGATCCATTTATCTTAGCTTGCCATAGTCGACACGCAAAGCTTGCTGGAATCGGAGTTGTCTGCTTGCAGAGACTTGTGGCTTCACGGTCTCTACCTTCTGAGAGGCTGAAGGATGTCCTTGGAGGATTGAAAGAGACGACTAGCCTGAGTAAGCATTCATAGCTGATAATCCTTCAAATCACTAACTCATCCAGGCCTGGATATCCAACTCAAAATTTTGCAGTCTCTGCCCTCACTTTTGCAGCATTATTCCAATGACCTAGGAGGAGAGCTTCTTGCAAGTACATTAGAAATATGCGCTACGCTGCAAGCAAGCAAAACCCTTGCCGTATCTAGCACAGCAGCGGCCACACTACAGCAGTTAATAGTCTCGACATTCGAACGAGTTGCTGAAGAAGACAGTTAGAATTTACCTTTGTTTGGCCTGGGTTACTATGTCTGCTGACTTATCTTCAGAAATTCTCGATGAAGGCAAGCCACGAGTGACTATCAAGCTTGAAACTGACTCTGTGAACATCGGGTACTCTGCATACGATGCATTGCGGGTAAGCATCAGACTCCTACGTTTATTTGGGCTTCATTGACATAGCGCGTAAAGGTCTTGGATGATCTGTGCCGTCTTTTAGATGGCGAGCAATTGCATTTTCTGCGTATCAAGTCACTTTCTCAAACATTCACATTGGAACTCATCGAGAGCGTTCTCACTAACAGCGGACACTTATTTAGTGGCCATGCGGAGCTCACGCATGTCTTGCGGACTCGGCTCATGCCAATGACTGTCAGGTACTTCTCTGAGAGGCACGGCTTTGCCCTTACCAGTCGAGTTGCTCGGATTCTTCTTATACTTCTCAAGCGTCACATGTCTCTTCTGACAGCGGAATGCGAGATGGCTCTTGGGTTGCTGACTCACCTTCTCGAACCTGATGGAACGTCGCCTTGGAAAAGAGTACTCTGTATGGAAGTTTTCAGAGGACTTTATGCAGAGCCGGGGCTAGTTCGGCTCATTTATTCTCTATATGACGGAGAAGACAACAGGAAGAATATTCTCAGGGATCACATGGCCGCTCTCGTTCGTCTAGCGTCTGAGAAGCCTTCGTTAATTGGAGTCAGCAGTCGTTCAACTGTACCCTTGCGAGCTGAACATGCACGGTCCATAACAGAAGAGCAGATAACACTTGAAGCCGGTGGAGTTGCTGGGGTTATCGGGGCCACTGGCCCTTCTACTGAGACTAGTTTCCAGGGAATTAGCAGTCAGTGGAGCACAGTCCGCACGCCGTACATCGAACTGCTGGACAAGACTGATCCGCCATCTCCCCCTGAAACATACATCTACAACCTAGTGCTCAATTGTATTACCTCAATTGCAGAAGGGCTGGCGAGGTTCATACTTCCATTAACTGTCCCAGACCCAAAGCAGAAGCGGAGAAGTCGGATTACGAGCCCCCACGAAAGCATGTCTACTGGGCCTGCACATGATCTTCAGAGGGTGGATTCCGGCAAAACCATACACAGATCGAATTCCAAGAAACTCGCGATGCCCCTTAATCCCTTGGACCTAGATTCTCATCCTCAATTGACAGCAATCAAGGCCTGCGCCGGCATCATTGAGAATTGCTGGCCTGCTATACTTGCAACATGTTCCACATTTCTCTACGCTTCGTTGGATGAAGAATACTATCACAACCTTGTTCGATCTTTGCAGAAGCTCGCTCATGTTGCCGGCCTTCTCAGACTGTCCGTTCCGCGGGACGCTTTTTTAACTACTCTAGCGAAGGCTACAATGCCAGCTGACGTGGCTGGTGCTTCGACTGCAGCCGTCTCAGATTCCCACAGCATTACCGCCATGGATGAAAAACGCAAGGGCGCCGCGGTGACACTTGTTAGCTCCCCATTTCCTGCGGACGGCCCGAAAGCATCTGCGGACATTGCTTCCTTGTCACTAAGCACTAGAAATCTTCTGTGTCTGCGTGCGCTCTTGAATCTGGGGATTGCCCTCGGTCCCACTTTAGACCAGCCGGCCTGGTCGATCATTCTGGGAACGCTGCAGGATGTAGACTTACTCATCGGCATGGCCTCAAGCAAAACAAATAACTCTATTAATACTGCGGGGGATGTGTCAGGCGATATGTCTAAAGCCAGCCTCGGGGCAGAAATTACAGCTGTTCAAACAGCCTCTGCGAAATTGTTCGAGAGCACTGGTGACTACCCGAGCGATTCGTTCGACGGTTTGCTGATTGCTCTCCTTGACCTCTCCAGCGTGACTGCGGAACCAGTTAAAAATGGGCCGTCTGACTCGTCACCGTCGCAAAAGCACATCGGTCGGGCACGGAGGAATAACCGGGGCGTGTCTTTTGTGGTCGAAAAGTCCAGAGTGCGGGGTGAAGAACTGAAGTTTGTCTTGGACAAAGCAAAAGAGCTCGCCCAAGCAAACCTCGAACGATTGTCGTCGTTGGCCGACACCGACCGTGGCGTCTGGCAGCTGCTTACTGAGAGGTTGATTGCCACCGCCGCGAACCCAGAGATAAGCCAGAGACTTCGTCTAAAAGCGAATGGTGTACTCAGCTATGTCGTATTTGAGACTATGAAACAGAGAGACGATGCGGATGATTCAGTCCGAAACGCACGTCATATCAGAAACCTGGAAACTTTGAACATGCAAGTCTCCACACTCTATTCGGTTAACGCTTGCATGCCAGGGTTACCACCAACTACCTCCGTCATAGAGATTCATGAGCAGAGTCTGGAGACATTGAAGAGTATTCTGGAGCAGTATGCAGAGTCTTTCAATGATGGATGGATGCTTGTCTTTAGTCTGATATCCAGTGTTTTTGGAGACGTTTCCAACGGCGAGAGTGCAACGGCGGCAGGAGATACCTCTAGCAGGGCGCGTGACATACGCTCGGTAGCCAATTCGCCTCGGCTCGTTCGTGCGGCATACAAATCTCTGCAGTTAGTCGCTTCTGATTTTATCGCTCTCTTGCCACGCCAATGTCGGTTGGACCTCGTGAATTCATTGTCCCGTTTCGCTTTACAGCAAGAGGACTTCAATATCTCATTGACAACGACATCATCTTTCTGGAATGTCTCTGATTTTCTGCAAGGGCAAATTGAGGAATTCTGCATTGAGTCGCATGTTGAACTCTCAGTCAGTGAGGAGACACTTTCGACTCTTGCAAGAGGTGATGAACCCTCAGTCTCACGAAATGCCCTGTGGCTGCTGCTTCTGCTTAGGATTGTAAGCCTTGCGAGGGATAGCAGGCTGGAGATCCGAAACTGCGCGATTCAAACACTCCTAAGGATTTTTGATGCGTACGGGCAACAACTTTCACCCAAGGCATGGCGTCTGTGCCTGAATCGTGTTTTGTTCCTAATGGTTGAGGCCATCGAACTTGAACTCGCAAATTCTCGGACAGCGGAGAAGGTCAGGAGTTCTGAGGTGCTTCAGTCTTGGATAGAAACCGCAGTTGTCACGATCAAGGGGTTTTCCAATCTGATTACTACATTTTTCGAGCCTATTGTCGGAGACGATGCCTTTGACGCTTCCTGGGAACGACTCCTGGGATATTTCCACAAGCTTATCAGCTCGAACTTTCTGGAGCTAAGCGAAGCGGTATTCTCCAGTCTGGCAAACATCCTTCTTCGTGCGCAGACGGCAAATAATATGAGTAAGAACGCTCTTGACCTCGCTTGGTCGCTGTGGGTTGGTGGCCATCCTGCTAGCAGGGAGGACATGATTGACCTCGAACGCCCAAATCAGGAGGCATCATCTGCATACTTGCAGACATTTCAGCAGCTGTACCGCCTCTACAAGGACAATATAGGAGACGACCATATTGAGCATATTCTCCATCATTTGCGCCTCCTCGCTTGGAACTCCATCTCCCCTCGTTATTCGCCGGATGTGGATCGGGTTTCGGATCTTCAAGCAATTATCCTCGAGTGTGTGAAATTGCTGTGTTCAGAGAAGCCGGAGGCTCAGCCAAAGATTGTTTTCTGTCTCGCTGAATTCGTCGATTCCGCGTTGACGAAATGGTCCACCGATTCAGATCCGAGAAGGCCAACCTTTGTTGCGTTCTCGAAAAGCGCGGTAGAGCTCTTGGGCTGGTATATTGCTGCCTTTGGTATCAAGAAAGATATCTTCTCCAATGGCTCTCTATCCTCTGCCTTGGACCATCTTGGAAACCCAATTGTTCAAAAATACGAGTGGACAGGAAAAGACCGAGATCCCAGTTTATGGCAGAAATCGACCATTGCAGTGCTGGATATTCTCTTTGTGGCGGTTCCATACGTCGAAAAGCAATACGAAAACGCAAATTTAAAAGAGATATCGCGGTTCTGGAAGTGTGTGGTAGACATTGCGAACGGCATTGCATCTGCCAAAGGATATCGAAACGGATCCATTCCTACAGCAAAGATCCACGCAGACGAAACCTTCGACGTCGACGCTATGAACAAGCTCAAGTCCATCATCATTCCATCTCTAGGCGCAGCCATCATTCCAGACAATATTCGACGCCAATTCGCACGTACGATATTCGAGTCGTCTTTCATCTACCAACAACAGCGTTTTGGTGCTCCTATCAAGTATTCGGAGAAGGAGCCTTTGCAGGGCATATACGATATCCGGCCTGGCCGAACCTTTGACCCACCGCCAACCCCACGCGGTCGGATGGCATATGTGCTGATCGACACGCTATTTGAGCTCGCATCAGCCCCCCAGCCTGAAACCTCGCCGAGCAATGACGATCCATCCAGACAAGAGACAATCAATACGGAGCAAACGACAGCCCGCGTTTTACTCTCGCGCTCTGTCTCCCCGTATCTCATACTCCGGTGCGCCGTTTCCCTAAAGGCATACATCGCGGATCAGCCACTCCGCGGACTCATGCCCCAGCCCACGCCGGCGCGCAAGGCGCTTCTACATCTTCTCCGCGGCATGATCGATTTGCGGAGCGAACCAACTGCCATTCCTGCTCCGCCTATAATCCGCACAGTGGTCATATCATCCGGCGACTCAAGCCAGGCTGGAAATGGACATCAGAAGAAACATCTGGAATGGATATATCCACTCGCTGTGAAGGCAGTGCAGGTCGCTGGGAGGGAAAAAGATGACGGAGAGGTTCTCCAGGTTCTCGGAGCGGTTTTAGATCGGGTCGGCAACGATATTTAATTTGTATACTTTGCATTTTACGGATCATTTCAAATAGATCTCAGTCGGGTATGTTTTTATAGATAAACATTTGCGAAAAGCAAGTGTTGCATTCTCAATCCTCATTAGGCACAGAGAGCTACTTTATTTAGGAATCAATCATTGACCGTCAGCTACAGGGTCAGTTTATCTGATTGGCAAGAATTCGTAATAAGCACAAGGTACGGATACAGAGTCAAATAGGGTATATGTACGGAGTAGAAAATGTCGCCAAAACTCAACAATTTCCATGAAATAGAACTGTTAAGCGAGACACCATGCGACATACTCAGCCTACTGGCTAAGCGGCAGGGGCGGATACTTTCTGAGTGTGATATGATTCGCGTCCAGGTCCGGCAGTAGCTGAGCCTTCTGGTAGCGGCTGTTGTTGCTTCTGTTGCTGAAGGAGCTGCTGCTGCTGGATCTGTTGCTGTTGAGCGATTTGAGGGGTGGCTGCGAACTCGGGAGCTTGTCTGTAGAGAGTAATCTCGGACTGCTTGAAGTACCGACGGGCATCTAGACACAGGGTGTTCAGGTCAGTACGTTATCAAACCGCAGAGGGAATGCAAAAACAGAGAAAAACAGCTGTGTTTCAAAACAAAAACGTATGAAATGACGAAAACCGGGGGCTTAGTGGGGCCGCCACGCGAGTTCATCAACCAAGTGTGGCTTAGCGTGGGGGGTTTGCCGTTCGGAAAGAAACCTCTCAAGTCAGCCGGTCCGAATGACCACCATGACTGGTCCGAGGAGGTTTCAATAGCCGACCGGCTATTGAAATGTTGAGTGGGATGCCGTGGGATATTATTGGGCAGTTTGAACATATGGAAACCTCAGGTACCAATGCAGGTAGCAAACAACGCCTCCATAGTGGTCATGCGCTTTCCAAGTCGCACGGACTGCCAGTTGGTTCGCCAGAGAAATCGATCGGACAGATTCCGTGCCAATGAAGAGAACATTTGAACGAGCAAGTGCTTTTTTGTTCTGCTTACCTTCATCGATCAACACCAGGCTCAGATAGTATCTTGTGGAGTACTTTTTGTTGACATCACGGAAAGTGGGTGTCAAATCGAAACCACCCAGGAACAGACGAATAGGAATTGTCTCGCCTAGCCATGATCAGCAGGAAGTTCTTCCCATTTGTTCAACAACGTATATTGCTTCTTATGGGGTGCCAGCAGTGTGGCATGAGGCAATTTCAATCGGATGCGACTCACCTCGCGAAGGCGACCCGTCCATGATCTATCAGAAGAAGGACGTTAGCACGCATCTCCAGTTTTGTGCCAAAACAGCGGGGCCGACCTACCTCGAATCGTACCAGTGTCTCGCTCTCGTTGTACTGATTTGGAGGAGACCCCGTCGTCTCACGTCGAATAATGGATAGTTCCATGTGTTTGATCTTCAGCCGCACGAGGAGGAAATAGATACGTCCCACGATGACATCTTTCAGATGATACTTGGATTTGGAGTATTCAAACTCAATATGCAGGCAGTCTTCGATACCGACATCCATCTTGATGGGGCTGTTGGTCTCTGGCGGCATGCGATAAGAGTAGACCCAGAGATCCTTCTCGCGAATCACATCTGCCATCCGCCTCGAGACTGTCACTCGAACAAAGTAGCGCAGCTTCACATTGATACCATTGTATGATTCGTATTGTTTCTCAACGTTCTTGAAGTTGAAGGGGAATGTCTGTGGGTGTTGCAGCTCTCCGGGAGCTGCAAGTTCCTGCACCAGCGAGAGAAATTCGTAATGGTTGCCTCGATCGTAGAACATCTCTGCTGGGCAAAATGCTTGGTTAGTTCAAGTCTCAACCACCAGTGGCAGTAAGTGCTACAGTCTTTGAACGGGCAGGCTCCCATACCGATCGTGCCAATGAATTGCACCTTGATGCCTGTGTGCTCTAATCGCTTCCCATCCTTTGGTCGAACCGTAACAGCGCCCTTCACCGATTCCCCATCCATGTAAAGGGGGACTCGCTCGCGGCGGCCCTTATCGAGCTTCACATCTACTGTCTGGCGTTCATCGCTGTCTTCGAGCACGACGTCAATGTCGACGGGAGTGGAGAAGAAGAGAGAAGTCATTTCGGAGGCCGGCTGGCAGGGTTTAGGAAGGTTAAACCAGATTGGAACTCGTGCACACGTGAAGTTCTTGCAGTCAAATCAGATAGGATCACACAATTGCCATGCCGCTTAGCTTCGCTCAAGCTTCCATCTGGGTTGTTGACCGCAGAAGGCGATCCACGACTGCCTGACGGTTAGCCTGTCATATGGTGATTACGTAATATCCCGCATCGTAGTTAGTAGACGTTATTCCATCAACTGTTGCGTCTGTACATGCGGCTTTCGTAGATTAACAGTTGAACACATACGAGTCACTTTCCCAACGGCCCAGAAAATATGAAGCGACTCGACATCTTCAGTGCTAGGAGCAGTTGTAACATACTACTAAGTTGTTACGCGCCACAGATGCTGACCAATGGACTGCATACTTGCTCATGTCATGTCCGTGCTAAATTGGCTAAAGAGCAATGCTCTGGATACCCACCTAAGGGTCCAAGATGGAGAATAATGAGTGCAGTGTACCATCTCTTGACTAGGTCAAAATACAGAAGTAGGTATCAGTATTGCTACCGCATCCCCGCCATTCGTCGCGAAATATATTTTTTGCAAAATAGAGGGTAAAGATACTACATCTGATATTCAAAGCGGATTTCAACCTTCGAACAAGGGGGACGCGGAAAATAATGCAGTTTTCGACAGGTTCGACACGTCTTTGTCCTGGGCTTGACAGGACGAACGGATTTGGGCAGAAATCCGCCAGCCTACCAGTAAGGTAACTGGAAACACATTTCCGCAGCCCTTGTTTCCCGAAGATTTCGTCCTCTGAGGCTGAGACCCGAGTCTCGTGATACCTGCCAAGTCCCAAGTTCCAACAAGGTTTGGATAAATACTGGAGCACTCAATGCTAGGAACGTGAAGATGTTGGCCAGCGAATTGTTTGCATGCAAGCTGGCGGGTTTCCCCGGATTGAGCCACGTCCCCCTGCAAGCCACAAGGACCCAAGTTCAATCAATTAGGCGGTGGGCCACATGGCTGGCACTGCTGTTCAAGCCAACATACGGCTTTGACTGTTGAGTGGTGGAGTGTCGACGCTCGACAGTTTGAAGAAAAGGCGGTATCGGACATTCAGATTCGCTCTTTTGAGCCATAACCCTTGTTTGGAAGATGATTGTCTGCTGAGCGCCCATCAGGGATGAGACGCCAAACTACCTCCTGAAATGCGGAGTACTAGTCCGTCCATATTGCACTTATTATCGTCTGCCCCCTTGTTCCCTTTGTCCACGGGATCAAACATTGGCAGATTGAAGTGTTGTACAGCCATGCTATATCATCAGGGATGAGTTAGAAATGAAGGAGCAACACATTACGGCGTGTAGCTAGGGATAGATGCTTGCACTTTGGTTGAATCCTCCCACTTTTGTTGTTGATGGTATTGAAGATCTCGCAGATTGCGTGGGGGAGTATTTCCGATTACAGAGTAAATACTAGGTGTACTCCATTCATTCTTACCATTAATTGCAATCAATATCGAGAGACTTTKGTCAGTAGACGGATAAATAGATTGATATTATGTAGAACGTTCTTGTGTCAGGCCGCTACCTTATTCCCGTCAGCCCATACTAGCCACGGCATCCTGGTATCTGGTCCCCGGCGATCATTTTTGAGTAGTTCCTGAGAGTCTCGTCTGCATTCCCCGTCCTTTGAAATTTGAACAGTATGGTCTTCCGTTAGATTTGAGGGAATAATGGATGAAAATAACACGGGAAAATTGCTTTTGCCCTGTACATTGGATACCTATTCTGGCATAGCGTGGGGGTTTTGATGATGAGCGTTTGTAACTCGCTTGTAATCGTATTATTGGCTGTATCAGTCCCGGATCCCCGGTGCAGGGCAACCTTCTTTTCTACCCGTGACATCATGAAAAGATGGGATGACACGGGGTCGTAATTTCGTACGTATTTGATGCTCTTCCAAAAGATACAGTGTTACAATTTGTGTATGGCGCGATATATAACCTACTCCAGCTGCTTCAAATTTTTAGAATTATCCCAGATAGTACCTTTTCTTTTTATCTTTCCATTCTGCAATGGTGAGTCTGTCCAAATGGCTAGAATAAGAAACGATCTCCCACTAACGCCCAAGCTGGCGGAACCCCCTATCTTCTCGAATGTCCCCCACCTGTCGAATGTTTCGCTGTTTTCGCGATTTCCCCCACTCGGCTGTAATCTATACTCTGTACTCTGTAAGGCACCTTAAGCTTAGGCTATGGAGAAATCAAACACTGCAGAGGTTGTTCGGACTTTCCAGTTAAAAGTCGTCGGAAAATTCCCGTTACGTCTGTATGATTCGATATTTTTGAAACTTCAACCTGAAAGAAAAACAATAGGTCAAGATTCCCTACAGGATCGGCTTTCGACATGGAAGTCCCCACAGACCCAGGTTTCATACTTAATATCCGCCTGCTGGATTTCTTCCTTTTTTATTTAGCCATTACTCCCTTGTCTCTTCTCTTATTCCTCTTATAACTTGCATGAAAGATACTGTTATTACCTTTGATTGCAATCGCTGTTCAACAACCTGGTTTTGATGCATTCCACCTAGTTCAAAGCACTTAAACCACAAAAGCGTCGCCTTCTATATAATCCACTAAACCTCGACAACACTCTCAAAAGTTGGTTGAACCATCCGGCACCGCCCACCGAAATCCGTGTATCACTAGAGCGTCATAGTCTTTGTTCACTCCGCGGCTCTCTTGCGCCGTTGTTTTCTCTTTTCTGATTGAGCCGTACTTCTTTGTTGTACACACTATGCTCTCTGCTGGGGAAAGGCCTCAACCGCCTTTAAATACCAATGCGGTTGTAGATGCCTCTCGGACGCCAGTCACCAAAGTTTCTCTGAATCACAACTCGGCCACCTCAATG